AGAGCCAGGGAAGGGTGTTCCAGGCAGAGGAAACAGCAGGTGCAAAATCCTACAGGAGGAAGAAGACAGTGGAGGAGAGGAGTAGTGAGGACGACAGAGCGAGAAGAAGGTGAAGAGCGAGCAAGAGGTGAGAGGTCAGGGAAATTGGTGAGTTGAGTCCTGAGGGGCCAAAAGGTCTGGGAATCTACCCCAAGTGGAAACCTCTGGAGGATTTTAGCAGGGGAAGCTGATCTGATTGGTTTATAATCACTCGGAAAGCTTTGCCTTCCTGTCTCCCAGGGAGCCAACCCCTCTGTGTGATCCTGTCTGGCTTCCCCATCAAATTGTGAGCTCTATGGGCATCTGTCTTGTTCCATGCTAGATGTCTAACACAGAGCTTGATGCCCAGGGGAAAATAATTGCCTTTCTTTTCTTTTCTTTCTTTCTTTCTTTTCTTTTTTTTTTTTTTTTTTTTTTGGCAGTGCTGGGATCAAATCCAGGGTCTCAAACATGTTAGGCAAATACTCTATCACTGAGGCGCACCCCTAACCCTAATTACTGTCAGTGGAATTCATGAATTAGGAGTTGGGACCCCATCCCTAGACCTCTCTGTCTGGACACAGATATATCCAGCTCTCATTAGAGTAGCGGCTAAGTCAGAGGAAGAGATGGGGGCTTTCCCAGGGAGGGGATGTGAGAGTTAATGGGGAAGAAAAAGAAGTGGAAAGAAGCGAATTCAACTCACTTGAGCACCTGCTAGCTCTGCGGCTTTGGATGGAAGAGTAAAGGTCATTCCCACCTCTTCTGGGGGTGGAGGCCAGTCTCCTCAGGCCCTGGGCTTCAGACCATAACTGACCTTCCATGCCCATGGCCTTCCCTGAACCCCATTTCCTCGTGCTCAGTTCTGAACCATGACGTCCTGACGTCTCTTAACCTCCATGATAAAATAAGCCCACAGTCAATGTTCATCGAATATCTGCTCAGCCCCAACTCCTCTCCCCTCTCCCTGCTCCTCTGCAGCACCCCAACTCCATTCTTTCCTTCTCCACCCCACTCTATGCTTTTTTTTTTTTTTTTTTTTTAGTACAGGGGATTGAACTCAGGGGCGCTCAACCACTGAGCCACATCCTCAGCCCTATTTTGTATTTCATTTAGAGACCAAGTTTGCTTAGCACCTCACTTTTGCTGAGGCTGGCTTTGAACCTGAGATCCTCCTCCCTCAGCCTCCCCAGCCACTGGGATTACAGGCCTGCGCCACCACTCCCAGCTTCACTCTATGCTCTCTGAAGATGTTCTTGTCCTCTAGCTCTGGATGTGTTTGGACAGTAAGAGGCACTGACAGAAGATGAAGTTGGGAGGAGAAAAATAAAGTGAGAAAGGGACATTGGTCCTCTTGGATCCCTCCTTGCAGGGTCATTTCAGCTGGCTGTATTCCTTGACCAAAGATCCTGTCCACATGACCTTCTCTCTAGGCTGTTTTTCTTCCAGTTGCCTGGGCAGGAGCACCCAGCCATGATAATGGATCTCCATAGGTGTTTGCCCCAGGGTGCTGCATGAATCCCTGTTGGTTTCCCCAACTTCTGCCCACCCCACTGATTTACTACAAGGATGGCCCCTGTAGTAAACTTGCCTCAAATACCCATTTGAATGTGTCAGTTCCCTGAACTCTTACCCCAATCTTCCCCTCCCCCTCCCTGCTGAACCTCACTCACCCTTAGCTTTTTTCCCTCCTGATTTGGGGGGAAATTTAGCTCTCCTAGATCATCAGGGGTCAGTTTGCGTGGTTCAGTCCTCACAGTTGATTTCTTTTCTTTTTTTTTTTTTTAATTTTTTTTAGATGTTGATGGACCTTTATTTTATTTATTTATTTATATGTGGTGCTGAGGATCGAACCCAGTGCCTCACACATGCTAGACATGTGCTCTACCACTGAGCCCCAGCCCCAGCTCCTCACAGTTGATTTCTCCGCAGCTTTTGAAGCACTGAACTATGTTGCTGCTCCTTGCCACTCCCCTCTCCTCCACTGCTGGGGTGCCACACATGCTCAGTTTGCTTCCTACTTCTGTGGCCTCTCTCTCATGCCTTTCCCTTAGATGTTGGGGACCCCAGGGCTCAGTCTCAATCTCCACTGTTTGGGGGAGACTTTAGTCACTCTCCCAGCTTCAATGTCTCTCTCCCCTATCAAACACTGATGTTATATCTGTCCCAAGGGTCCAGATCCCTTGAACATGACCCAAACTTGCCTTTGTGCCTTCCCTGCATTTGCTTTCCCCCACCTCACCCCCCAGTTCCTAGACTGGAGTATCATTCTCTACTGCTTGAAATATACCAATCCTCCTTCCAGGATCCCCACCCCGTCTTTCCCCTCTGGTCCAGCCTCCTCCCCAGTCCCCAAGTCATATTCCAGATAGGCAGGTTTGTTCAAGATCTTCTCTTGCTGGCACTGGAAGTCCTTTGCAATCCTACGTCTTTCTATTCCAAACTTTCCTTCCAGTCTCACGGAAATGATAAACTACCCGTGTGTGGGAGCCTTCCGTAGGTCGGAGAACTTTTTCTTTTTTGCAAGGTTCAGCTCCAGGATCGCCTCCTCCAGGCCGACTTCTCTCCCTCCCTCCCGGTCAGTGCCCACCAGTTCCACATTCCAAAGGTGCCTGAACACACCCGGCTGCCAGTGTTCGGTTGTGGCACCAACAGATGAGTGAGTGAGTGAATGAATGAATGAATGGACGGCGAGTGAATGACAGCAAATAGAGGCACGATTTAGAAGTGAGAGAGAGAGAGTCCAAGTCCCGGAGGAGCCCCAGCTGAGCTCTCGGGGTCTCCGCTCCCGCCCAAAGTGCTGCGCACGTCCAGCCCCCGGCCGGAGAAAGGACGCACCTTGATTGGCGCGGGCTTGGGGAGGCGGGCATCCACTGAGCCTCGAGATTGTAATGGCTCACTGGCCAGAACTTTGCCCAATCAACGCGATCGCTTCCTTTAGAAGACCTCGCCTCCCTCCCCGCCCGCAACCTAGAAGGCGGAAGACAGCGCCTTTTAGTTACCCTGGCAACCGTCAGCGGACCCGGGTCGCCCCGGCAACTCTCTCAGACCTCCCGTCAACTTTCGCCTGGGCCCCTCCAATCACCCAGACAACCGCTACCCGTTCCGGTCAACCATCAACCCTTCTCTCATCACCCTGGCAACCATCGCCAGACCCACCACCCCTTGGACGCCGTCTTCATCCTGCCCGCAGGCCTCCTCACCCCAACCCTAGGCTCTAAGATTCCTGGGCCCCAAGTCTCAGGGACTCCTCCTTCTGGCCCCCAAGGAGGTGGACATTGCCCCCTGCAGGGGAGGCCTGCTCTGTTGAGTTGAGCGGCTGCACTGTGCTGACAGTCAACTGCCTGTCTCTCTACTCGCATTCTTGCAGGGAACTATGGGACTGTCCAGCCGCCACAGGGAGCTCTTCAAAATGCAAGCCATGTCCCTACCCTGCTGAAAACCCGCTCTGACTTCCCTTGAGAATCGAATTCAAACTCCCCACAGCCCCTGGCGGTCTGGTTAGCAGCTACTGGCCTCCACATTGTTACTCCAATAGGCAGAGCTCTGTCCCTGCCTATTGATGGTTTCCTACTCCTGGGAAAAGGGCAACCCCTCCCCACCCCCACTGGGGTCCAGCCTCTGGTTTCTCAGAGAAGTCTTACCTGAGCTCTGTCATTCACTCGAACAGCCCTCTCTCCTCCCTGTGAATTCCAGGACATGGGCTATGTCTTACAATCCCAAATTTTCCTATCCCAAACTTCACTCTTAGTCTCACAGAAATGTCAAACCACTTGTGCAAGGGAGGCTTCTGTGAGCTGGATCAAATTTTGCAAGGTTTAGCTTTAAGAGGGGCTTATGGTGCACACTGTATACCTAGGACTTAGAACAATGCCTGGAATCTAAGTTGAGTGAAAGTGTCTCTCTGTGGGGAAAAGGGAGGGCAGAAGGGATGGCTTGGCAAGTTGGGCTTTGGTTAGGCAGACTCATCCCAAAACTAGAATGAATTTCTTAGGTCTCCTGAGTCCTTGTGCGGCAGGTGATGACACTATCCCCAAGACCCTAAATTCTAAAGTCAAGGAGATACAAGTTGATGCTGGAGGTCCACCCTCCACTTCTAACCCCCTCATTTGAGGCCGGAGCCAGAAGCCTCCAGAGTCAGCAGAAACTTCAGTTATTCTGGAGCAGAAGATTCTAGGAGCCGAAAGGGAAAGCCCTCAGATCCCAGATGACCATACAGAGAGTTGGTCTCTTCCTATGCTGAGTCTAGAATCTCATGTTTGTTAACGGAGCCCAGAGATCTGAGACGGGCTAGCACAGGCTGGGGTGAGAGAACTTGACTTGAACTTGGTTATAATGGGGAAAGGGATCCTTGGGAGCTGCCCTGAGTCCAGCTGGAGGGGAATCTGCATACTCACCTGCCTTCCTATGAGTGTAAGGTGGTCAGGAGATAGATAGGCAAGGAGGTCTCCCACTCTTAAACTAGGAACATTCTCACTGACACTAATAGAACTTTCTGCACTAATGTGACAATTGAGCACTTGAAATATAGCTACTGTGACTGAGGCACTGCATTTTAAATTGTATTTCATTTTAATTAATTCACATTTATATTGAAGTAGCCACCTGTGGCTAGCACTACCATATTGGATAGAATATTGGAGAAGACTTGAGATCCAGACTGGGAGCCAGAGACAGAAATATCAGTTTATAGTTTACACAGCACCTTTGGTAAGGAGGGTCAGAAACTAAATTCTAGAACCTAACTCCATGAAGGAGAGTTCCCACGGTCCAAATGCTTGCAACACATGCATGCACACACCCATGCCTGGACTGGTGTGCCTCAGGGAATCCACACATTTGTGTGCCATCCAGAAGACTTACACCCAGGGCTGATCCAGGAGTTCACCATGTATGTATACAGACTCCCAGGCACACACAGATGATGTGTTCCTGAGTTTCTGTGTGCTTGTGTACCTGGGCAGGCAGGCGAGCAAGGGTCACTAGTCCAGCAGGTCTTGCAAAAAGGCCCACATGTATTGGTGCATCTCCTGGGGGTGGCTCTGGGGGATCCAGTGCCCCGCATCTGGCAGGATGTGGGCCTCCAGTCGGCCTGGCACAAAGCGTCTACTAATGGCTCCCACCAGCCCCACCTCCATGTAGGGGTCCTTCTCCCCCCACAGCAGCAGTGTGGGTGTGGCCAGCTCCTGGGGCTCCAGAGGGAAGTTCCTATGGTCAAGACAGACAGACAGACAGGCAGAAGGATGGCTACTCCTACTCCCTGTCCCTGGAACTCTTCTGCGCTTTTACCCTGGGTCCAGTCTTACCTGAAGAGGTTTCGGTAGTAGTTGATGGGCCCTGTGAGACCACCAGGCTGAGAGAAGTTATAAAGGAATGCCTCAAGTTCACTGGGGGTCAAGTGTGGGATGCCTGTCTTGTAGTGGGTGAGGGTAGTCTTCAGGATCTGGGCACAGAACAGGGCTCTGACTTCAGTGTCCAGCCTTCCTAGTCCCAACCTGCTACCCCACACCCCTAGGCCTTCACCCCACTGCACCTGGAAGTCAGACATGGACACCAATTTCTCTGGCAGCCAAGGAAGCTGGAACAGGAACATGTAGTTCGATCGGAAGAACTGGCCAATGTGGCGTATTGAGTAGTCTGGGAAGGGAATGAGGGGAAGACAACGCAAGAGCTTGGGCCTGGAATGACTCTGCACTCTTGTATCCCAAGACCCCTGTCAGGCACACAGTCCTCAAGAATACCGCCACTGCCTGCCTTGCTATGAAGACACTTGTCCCATACCTGGCCCAGGTACCAGCTTTCTTCCTTGCCAGGTAGTCACTGTATTCACAGCGCCTCCCTCTACCTCTTAGAAGCTCCCACAGCCACCAGTATGCTTCTGCTGCCTAGGCCTGGAAGCATTCACTGGCATTTATGTGCCAGGTCTGGTTCTAGACTTTGGAGACCCAAAAGTGAATAGGACAGAAAAACTTCCTGCCCTCAAGGAGCTTTCAATCTCGAGTTGGAAACAGATAGGAAACAACAATGGTGGTGGGGGCTGAGCAGTTTTGACTACAATGGTGGGAATTAAAATCAAGTGAAGGCTGGAGGGATAGTTCAGTGGTAGAACACTTGCTTGTCTAGCATGCATGAAGCCCTAGTTTCAACCCCCAGTAAGACAAAAAATAAATAAATAATAAATAAAATCAGGTGATATGGATGGGGGTAGAGTATAAAATAGTAGATAGAGCCCAAGCTTAACATTCTTGAAGCCCTGTGTACAATCCCCAGGAACAAACTCACCCCCCAAAATGCCCCAAATCAGGTGATGTGATAAGACATTGGGTGGACAGAAATGCCCTGGGTAGGTTACTGTATACAGGCTCCCTGTTAGAGGCAATTATTACAGGTTGAACATTGCTCATCTGAAAATCTGAAATGTTCCAAAATTCAAAAGTTTTGAATGCTAACATGATACCACAAATGCAAAATTTCACACTGGACCTCTGATGGTTCATGTCTATAAACTTTTTTAAAAATATTTTTATAGTAGATGAATATAATACATTTATTTTATTCTTATGTGGGCTGAGGATCAAACCCAGTGCCTCACACATACTAGGCAAGTGCTCTACCAACTGAGCTATAATCCCAGCCCTCTACAAACTTTTTTTACATACAAAATTGTTAAAAACTATTCTACAGGGGGCTGGGGTTGTGGCTCAGTGGTAGAGCGCTCACCTTGCATGTGCAAGGCCCTGGGTTTGATCCTCAGCACCACATAAAAATAAATAAATAAATACAACTACAACTTAAAAAAAAAACCCCACTATTCTACAAATTACCTTATGTCTGAGTGCAAGGTATATATGAAAAAACGAACTATTACTTTTTTTTCTCTTTTTTTCCCCCCAGTACTGGGGACTGAACCCAGAGGGTCTTAACCATGGAGCCACCTTCCCATCCCTTTTTGTATTTTATTTAGAGATGGTCTTGCTGAGCTGCTTAGGGCCTCATTAAGTTGCTGAGGCTGGCTTTGCACTTGTGATTCTCCTGCCTTAGCCTCCCAAGCCACTAGGATTACAGGTGTGTACCTCCACATCTGGCTGAATTATGAATTACTTCATGTTTAGACTTCAGTCCCATTTTACTATGTACAAATTGTAAAATCTAAAAATTTTGAAATCTGAAATACTTCTGGTCCTAGGCAACAACTTTTTTTTTTCAGTGCTGGGGATTAAATTTAGGCCTCAACCATGCTAGATAAGCATTTTAGCACTAAGCTATAATCCTTCAACTTGTATTTGAAAGTGCTTAAAAAATGTGGGTTACTCTTAAGTGTGCTATCATTGATTTTCAATTGAGAAGTGACACAGGGAAGGGATCCAAGTTCACTGCTATACTCCTAACCCTTGGCATGAATGGAGAAGTGCAAATACAAATGTATACCCGTGTACGCTGGCACACCCCAGCATTCATGACACACCTTGGTACACTGACATGGGGGCAGCGCTGACCACAACCATCCGCTCTACCAGGGATGGGAAGTAGATGGAGAAATTCCAGGCAAGGAGAGCGCCCCAGTCATGGCTCACAAGGATGCACTTGGAGTAACCTGGAGGACAGAGGAGTTGGTGTAAGATGTCAGGTAGGAGTGAGGCAGGGTGGGCAACATGAGTCCCAGCAAGGAGTAAGAATGAGGAGATGGGCATGTACAGGATGGGGGAAGCCTTGTCTGAATGGGGTTGAGTCCTCACCCAGGCCCAGGATAACATCCTGGATGTCAGCCATCAGCAGGTCGATGGTGTAACAGTCCACATCTCTTGGTGCATCAGAAGGGCCGTAGCCACGCAGGTCCACAGCCACGACATGGAAGTGGCTCTTGAACTCCCTGAGCTGGTGGCGCCAGGAGAACCTGCTCAGCAGGAGGGAGTGTGTGGGGAAGTTGAGTCAGGGCCCCCAGGAGGCACTTCCATCCTACACACAACAGAAACTGGTAACCCCACCTTCCCTGCTCTGGACTTCCCAGAAGAAAGGATGGGGGAAACCCAGGCAGATGCAGAGGCCAGCTGTACTCCAAATACAGGTCAGCTTCAATCTCAATGCTTCTTATCCCATCCCCTCAGGGTCTACAGATCCCAGGCATCCTGGTGGTCTCCCTGCCCTCTTGGCACTGTCTGGGCCCTATAATCTGCTCTGTAACCCTAGGACTGCTCAGCCCTCATCCCCACTTCTTGGGTGCCCTAATGTTGGGAGCTCCACAGCTCCCCAGTCCCATGTGCCCCAGACGTACCAGTTCTCCGGGAAGCCATGAAGAAACAGCATGAGAGGCCCCTTGCCGTGGCCAGCGGAGACATAGTGCAGTCGCAGACCAGAGCTCTGCGGGAGGGCAAGATGAAAGCCCTTTGAATCTTTCCTTCCTAGACTTGAACCCCCAGGACTCTGTACTGAACCGGATTTGGACTCAATTATTTCCTCTTTGCTCATCGTATCCCAAATCCTTGAGATCCCACAGCCCCAAGGGCGCCCGCCCGCAAGCACTTACCCTGAGGCTCAGGAAGTCATGCTTGCCCAGTGTGGGGTCCTTCAGGCAAGCCGGAGCCTCTCGCCTGGGGCGCCCACAACAGCCACGTCTGGGCCGGCACAGCACGTGCGTGAGCGCGATGCAGCCATAGATTGCCCCGGCCACCAAAGCTGCCGAGTACACTAAACTCCACATGAAGGCACGCAGCAGCTTCAGCGAGAGGCGCGACGGCGCCAGCAGAGCAGTCACCACCAGCTCCGGCATGTCGCCGCGCCCCGGGATCACGACAGTGCTGCGGTCGGGAGCGTGGGCCAGGGGCTCTGGCAGCAGTGGCGAGGCGGGATCCGGCCCGGGGAGCCCACCGCCTTTGGTCTGAGGACCCTCCGTGCCGTCGGCGCTTTGAGACTCGCTGAGGGAATAGATGGTCAGCTCAGACGGAAACCGCCACCGCACAAAACTCACCTAAAGTGTCAGGTAAACACCTGGGTGTGACACAGACAAGGAACAAGTCTAGGAAGGGTGCTGGGACAGAGACCTGGATGACCTGGCTTAGGTGGCTGGGGAGGGGCCTTGGGGGAAAAGAGGAGGCGTGGGCGGGACCTAGGAAGGTCTGGGTGGAGCTTAAGACAGGGACTAGACCTGAGAGGACACCTGCAGCAGGTGGGTGGGTCTAAAGGCAAGAGGGAAATTCGGAACCCAGACAAACGCAGACCTAGTGCGAAATGGGCGGGGCCTCGGGTGAAGGGGCGTGACATATATAGGTGGGTGGAGCATAAAGGAGGTGGGGCCTAGCATTGGGCGGAGAAGGCTGGAGGCTTGGCCAATGAACTGAAGTTGGCCTGTAGCTCGGCCAATGAGATAGAGAGGCGGGGCCGGAACCTACTATGGTAGATTCCAAGGCCCGGAAGCGGAAGAACAGGCAATGCCGGGGCGGTTAATCGAAGCAACCCGAAGAGGTCTCGGTCTCAGTAGCCTCGGCTACCATCCCACCCTAGTGGCTCCCGCCTTGGAGCGCGTGGCCTTCCCCTCGGCTTGACTTCGTGGGACCCAGTTGCATACTTCACCTAGTCCTGGTTCCAACGGCGAGTCCTGAGGCCTCTGCCCCGTCCAGTTCTCCTGTTGGTCCAGCGGGCCCACCAGCCCGCCCCTACACGGCTGTGATTGGACAGTGGCGGCCATTGATGTTCAAGCGACAGGTCCTGGACTGAGACCGGGATCTGGGCTCCGCCGGTAGAGAACAATGAAGAGGAAACCTCGACTCCTAGAGGATAAAACCAGCTTGGAAGCTGGAGGAGGGCCGGGGCGATTGGGGCCTTGGCGGCAAGAGGAAGCTGCGCCAGGCATGATGGAACCCTGGGTCATAGAGCCAAGTCCCTACCAGGAGCCACCTTCTTCCCTACCTTTTGCAACCCTCCCCCGAGATTTTAGGGACCGACACTCATTTAACTCTTATAGCAATGTTATTAAGTATAGATAATATTATTATGATGCTCTTGCATTACGGATCCATGAACCTCAAGTTTCAGGACGAAGACATTTGCCTTAAGTCATACAAACAGCAACCCAGAAAGATTTACTGAGGAAAGCATTAATCTGTGGTTCCAATCCCACAGCCATTGGAAAGCTTTCAGATTGTGATGGTTACTTATGTGTTTCTGTGGCTATTTATTTTCCGATTTGAAGCGTTATCCACTTACTTGCATTACCACCAGTGGATACCCTTTTCCATTTTTTTTTAATATTTATTTTTTAGTTTTCAGCGGACACAACATCTTTGTTGGTATGTGGTGCTGAGGATCGAACCTGGGCCGCACGCATGCCAGGAGAGCGCGCTACCGCTTGAGCCATATCCCCAGCCCCCCTTTTCCATTTTTACCTTCTTGGTTTCATCTAACTTAAAACTCTATCTTCACCGCCCACCTCTTTCCAGTTACTTGTTTTTGTGGTGCTGGGGATTGAACCCAGGGCCTGGTGGATGCGAGGCAAGCACTCCACCAACTGAGCTAAATCCCAGCCATATCTTTCCAGTTATTTATAGCGTCTCAGAAAGGAATGACACTACCGATTACACATTGCCTATATTTTTTGATTTTGGTGGTACTGGGCATAGAACCCAGGGGCACTTTACCACTAAGCTACATCTGCAGCCGTTTTTACTATGAGACAGGATCTTGATAAGTTGTTGAAATTCGTCTAGAACTTTTTATCCTCCTGCCTCAGCTTCCCAAGTAGCTGAAATTACAGGCTTGTGCCTAGCCATTGCACCAACTTTTGTTCTCTCTAGACTTCAGCACCTACCTTTCTTGATTAGCCTGTATCATTACTTTTTTTTTTTTTTTTGGTCCTGGGGATTGAACCCAGAGCCTTGTGCAACTGCCCCATAACTGGTTTTTTATGTTTCATCAAATCAGACCTCTGACAACTTTATGGTCCCAGAATCTTTTCAGAGCTCTCGAATCTGGCTGTATGGCTGGCTGTTCTAAGTGTCTGGGAACATCTCTTCTTTAACAAACCCTGACCCTGGCACCCACTTTACCCTTTCTCCCAACTCTGCCCTCAAAAAGACAGCAGTAGTGTGCTCACTTCCATAGCACTTATACTAAAAGTGGAATGATTACAGAAAATTAGCATGGCCCCTGCACGAGGATGACTCACAAATTCCCCAAGCACTCCATAGTAAAAAAATAAATAAAAAATAAAAAGCAGTAGTCATAGAAGGGTAATTTTATATTCAGTACAAATGTTTATTTTTGCAATGAGAACTGCACAAAAAAAAAAGAACCTTTAGTATATAAGTGAAAAGTCTACGAATTCCCTTCTACAAATGTCTAAAGTGTTTTAATACAAGTCTCAGATTCACTGACATGATTATTGGCCAAGCGATCCGTGCATACAGTACAATGGGGCTTGTACACACCTCTTAACTTGTATAGGACTAAGATTTCTAGTACTGTGGGAGGGATTTGGAAATGGCCAGAAAAATTAAATAAATCCCAGTTCTAATTACAACCCAGTTAGAGAAACATCAGAGGGGTGTGGAGAAGGCCATGGCAGAGTTAAAAATCTTTAGCAGGAAGGTGCAGACAAAACTATCCAACTCAACTACTGACTCAGCCTGGGAAGTTTCTGAACAAAACAAATAACAAAAATGAAGAACGTGAGATGAGATGGAAGAAACCCCCCAAAACCAAAATATGTCAAATTTGAACTGGCACAGTTCAAACAGGCACAGGTATATGAAGTGCCTGGGGTGGGCAGGGATACTGAGGAAGTGGGGGGGGGCCACTGACTGGATGCCTTAACTACACCCTCCCTAGGAGGTTTGGCAGATCCTAAACAAGACAAGGAAGGATCTTCATGGTTGAAAAAGGGGAATGTGGGTTAATAAACAGTGCTAGAAATGTTTCAGTTTGTCTCCACATACAAATAAATTATATGCTTGAACCTTACAACCTTGGGGCTTTTCTTGGTGCCACCCATACCTTGTGGCTGGGGTATGTGCGTACAGTAAGCCCACTGGCAGGGAGGCCACTTGTGGGCTTTCTGGAGTGGAAATGTGTGCGTTCTTGTGTGTGTGTGAACAAGGATCCTATTTGGGGGGAATGTACACTTACCTAAGAATATCTGGTTAACCCTGAGCTTAAATGAAAGGAGGAGTTAGGTAGAGGCAAGCAAGGTGGGATAAGTGGCCCAAATCCTTTGGTAAGTGGGGGACAAGGTGGAGGACAGCAAATAGGAAAAGTACGGTCTGGAGTTTGGCCAAAGTTCTATTGGGGCATGTCACCCACCTAGGCCAAGGTCCACAGGAAGGATGATGGGTTATCTGGGCTCCCTGTCACACCTTCAGCTTGTGAGCCTAAGTGGCTCCTGCCCAGGAAAAGCAGGAACAGGCTACAGGAAAGGGGTTATGTTGTATTGTTGATAGTTCTTGTGGCCTAGGTCCTGAGAGAAGTGAGGAACCTGGGCCTAGCCTAGGCAACAGTTGGTTCACAAAGAAATGTCAGGGAGACACCAGCATTAAAAAAGAGAGATGTGTTTATTCCATGATCAGTACAGACCAAATGCATATTCACCGTATGAAAGTCAAACCAGTCAGTGACTCCAGAGTTTGGCCAACACTGAGGCACCAGCATCGTGGTGTAGTGGGTTCTCATGGCACTCATAACCTCGCCAAGGGCTCCAATTATTAAAAAAAAAAAAAAAAAAAAAAAAAAAAAAAAAAATTATGGGAGGGAGCAGCCAACTGGTTGGGACTGAGTACTGGGCAGGGAAAGCCTCTGCCTCAGTCTGTGCCCCTTCACCCCCTAGTTCCTGGAGCCCACCTAATCCTCAGTCCCTTCCTTTCTTGGTTAAAAAACAAAAACAAAACAAAAAACCCCAAAAACAAAACACAGACTTGACATTAAAAACAAAGAAAGAAAAGCCAACAAACGGCAGGAAGAAGGGGATCGCAGCTTTCTGGTTTATAATTAAAAATAGACTAATAAGAGTTTGAAACCGAGTAAAATATAGGCAGGTTTTTTTTTTTTTTTGCTTTTTTTTTTGTGGATTTTTTTTGAGTTTTGTTTTTTTACACTGGTTTGGTGGAGTCACCAACAAACTTCAAACAAAGATATGTCAACTATGTTCACTATACAGTACAGCCACGGTCACACACTACCCACAGTGCGGTGGGAGCCGCCGCTCAATGAGACGATCACACCATTTCGGAGATAAGCAGTGCCATTGTGTCTGGAGAAGAGAGAATTAAAAATAAAATAGAATTCAACAACAAAAATATATATATATAGAAAAAAAACAAAAACAAAAACAAAACAGAAACACAGGTGGGAAGGAACTGACTTTGGTTGGTGGCCTCACTCCCCGGACAAGGCCCGCCCACACTCATGGGACGGTCACCTTGATCAGAATTGCCATGGACACACACACACCTCCACGGCACTATTCCCTTTTGCACAAGCGAACACTTATAGAGAGCGGCTCTCAATTAAAGGCTTGTGGGGGGAGGGGAGGGAGGGGTCTGTTCAAGGCAAAGTCAGTGCCAGCAAGGGGATGTGGGCCACTGCCCTCGTCCGCTGCAGCCCACTTGGACCTGTCCTGGCCTCTTAGGAGCAAGCGGCGATGGCTAGGGTGTGGGGAAAGACTCCCATCAGGCAGGACGTCACAAACGTCATGTTCTCAGGGACAGAAAGTCAGTCTCGGTGGCGGCAGCGACAATGTCCTGTGTATACTGTGTAGACATTTGGCGGAGAGAAGGGCTTCTGCCCCACACACGGGGACACAGGCCTTGAGTCCGGCCGGCACTTGCTCTTGCTCGTATTGAGGCGTGCTCTGAGCTGACGTCCTGTGAGAGGGGTGGTGGGACGTCCCTCCGGCTGGCTGTAAGGCAGATGGGCTCTGCAATCTTCAGCTGCCCTTCAGACCTGCCCTGGGCATAGCATGCAGTAGGGCCAGGCCTGGAGACACCCCGGCCCCTGCTACCGCCTCCACTGCCGTCCCTAACACTATGGAGAGTCAATGTTTTGCCAGAAAATCAAAGTCAGAAGTCACCTAGGCGCTCTCAGAAAAGATTTTCTTCAAATATTGACAATAGATCACTTTGAAAATTCATGTCAATTGTAGCTGCCATCTGGAGAGAAAGAGGAAGGAGGGTGGGAATGAGTTCAGGTGCCCTGCTTCTACTGTGGCTCTAAGACTTTCTCTATACCCACCACCCATGTTGTCTGGGTTTGGCCCCTCACACCTTCCCCGGGATTCTTCCCTCAGCGCCCATTCTCAAAGCACTTGGGCCATTTATGTCCCATTTGAGCCACCTCTGAGACCAGAGGTTAGCCTGGAGTGCACTGGCAGGCCTGGGCTCACTATCTGCCCCTCCGGCTCCAAGGCCTCCTTTGCCAGTTCCTGCAGGTAGACTTCTGCCCAAGAGTCCCCACTATGGTCCCAAACTCACGGCCTCCCGGCGCCTTCGCTCCTGCTCCCGCTTCCTGGCCAATTCCCTCTGCTGGTCCAGCATGGACTGGGGCTGGGAGCTTTGGGCTTGGGGGGTGGCGGCGGCAGCCACAGCGGCAGCCTGCTGCTGCTGCTGCTGCTGCTGCTGTTCTTGCCGCTGCTGCTGCTGCTGCTGCTGTTGCTCCTGGCGCCGCCGTGCCTCCTCATGGGCTCGCCGTGCCTGCTCCAGTGCATCTTCGTCCTCTCGGCTCCTGGGCAGAGCAGGGCCCTGGGTCAGCCTGGGGCCTTGGTGTGGCCCTGAGAGCCCCGATGCCCTGCCCGGACCACAGCCCACCTCATGCGCTCCTGCCGCAGTCGCTCTTTCTCCTTCTCTGCATGCTCAGCCTGTGCCTTCAGGGCCTTCTCACGCTCTTCCTTCTCCCGAGCAGCACGGCGAAACTGTTCGAAACTATCACTTGATGACTTGGCTGTAGAGGATGGGGTAGTTGGATGCTTCTGTACCAGGCTTGCCCAGGAGCCCATGTTCTTGATTTTCAGGTCCTGCAGGGCAGAGAAATGAAGAAGAGTGAGAAGCCTACTATGCTTGAGTAGGGAGCTCATGTCCTCTAAGGTGCCTCCCTGGTGTGGAGGACCTCAGGGCAACCATAGGCCTATTATCTCTACCTTTTTGGGTGCCACTGGCGTCTTAGGCTCCTGTTTCTGTTTGTCCTTGTCAGGGGCCCCTGGAGGGGCTGCATTCTGTTCAGGGGGCCGGATCACAGGTCTCCCAACATCCACAGGCTTCAACTCAGGTCCTGGAACACAAACAGCCTGTGGGCCGGGGCCCACCTTATCCCGGTGGGGCACGATCCATGGCCCCACAGTAAGCTCATGTCTGGCACAGGGCTGGGACCCTGAGCTCCAGCTGTGGACAAGGAGGGCACTCACGCTGGGGCAGGTGGACTGGGGCCTTGATGCTCTCTGGGTGTTTTGGGGGCTCCGGCCGCAGAGAGGGACTGAAGGGCTCACTGCGGATGATGGGTGAGTGGATTTTCTCCTCTTTCACCACCACAAGGGGCTGGGGCTGGACCACTGAGGCCTTATGCAAATCCTGAAAGAGCAGAGGCACAATGGTTGGTGAGGCAGGCAGACACCCCTGGCTGTGGTCCATGCCTGCCCCTGAGGGCTGTGACCCAGCTTGGCCCTTTACCTGCTTCTTAGGCTGGACATTTTGCTGGGGTGGAGACTGGTGGGTCAGGCTCTGGAACTGTGGCATCTGGGGGGAATGTATCATAAGCGGGGAGGGGGCTTCACGGAGGTGACCTAGGAGAGGACACAAGGAGTATGTCAGGGGGCTAGCGTAGAGGCGACCAGCCCTGGGCCTTGAGTAAACTAGAATGGGAAGGGAAAGCCTGGAAGTAGAACCAGCATGAGGCCTGGTCAGGCTTCAAAGAGTAAAGATCCTCTACTGGGCCTGCCTGGTAAGGATTTGATTCCCCTCCTCCAAAGGGCTGAGTGCTCCCTATCTCTCAGGATATGGGGCCCTTTCAACCACGTCCCGGGCTGAGTGCTCAAAGGGCTTTATGGAGTCCCATGACATCAGTACTAGTATATTGATCTTTCTACATACCAGACGCAAGAAACTTTAAAAACCACACCTCCTGATATGTGGGGTTCTCAGGTGGGGTCCAGGGACTAGTAGTTTTTGAAAGTAGTTTTAGTTCTGAAGTGTGGCTTGGGCTAAACACAAGGGATGTCAACTCAAAAAGGATGAACCTGGCTAACCTCCCTGCTTTTCCTCTGAGCAACCTGGCCCACCTGGGTGGTTGCTGAGTATCTGGGGCTTAGTCCCTGGGGGTGAGGGTGGGGATCTTCAGGATCCTTCCTAAAGTCCTATACCTTAACTCAGCTTATCTGCAAAACGGGCAAGACAGGGACAGGACTCCACCTGAACACAGCAGGTAGAACAGATACGGGGGCTTCAAGCTAGCCCACTATGTGGCTAGGAGAGACCCAAAGAGTTGCAGATCAAGAGGAATTCTGGACAGCCCTGCTGCTGGCCACTGGGAAATGGACCATGGAGTACTTCAGTCTTCTCAGCGGTACAGTAAGGAAACCCAGGTCATAGTGAGCCAGCTCCTCAGGTCTGGGCAAGGAGCCAAGTCCCACCCAATCCAATGCAACCCCGACACCCTTCTGCCCAAATCCTTGCCTGAAAGAGGTCTTGCCACCTGATACAGTTTGGCTAGTTACAGCTCAGGACAAGCCACAGTATCCACAAAAGTAAGCGCTGCCTTTCCAATGTGCTCTGAGTTCGACTTCATGCTTCTCACTAAGCAATCTAATTTGGTCGGTCCTATATGTTGACCTCCTCCAGGTCGTGCTTCAAAGCCACTGTCTATCAGCAAAGGTACTCCTGAGTCCTCCAAGGGCCCCCCCAATTGAAGGTCCCTATCTTGGTAAGCCTGGAGCAGACCATAATGCCCCAGGTGTGTCATACCCTCATGTTACTCTCTAAAGTTAGGTCTCACACCTCCCTCCAAAAAACACTAATAAAAGTTGCTTGGAGCCTACACTGTGGCAATGTTTGCCCTGTTCTTAAAGCCTCATAACCCAGTGGGGTTGGTTTTACTGGTCTTGACACTACTTCTCATTGTAGTGGGTGGACCCCTTTGGATGTTACCATCTTCTTCTGCTGGCCCAGGTTTTAGCCTGGTTCCAGTGATCCAAAGGCCACACGAATACGACAGGCTCCCATCTAAGGCTAGACCCTCGGGCCAATCCACCTGCTGGTGGCTGTAGAGGGATGGCACTGAAAAGCTGACCAGGTGCCCAGGGATGCCGGCTGAGCCTCTGTGGAACTCTTGACAACTTAGTTTTTGGCTCAAAGACCCCAGCTGGGTTCTAACCCTCACCACTCCTTATGCCCCTTCCTAGGCTGTAGGAGTTTGAGTGGGGGTTTGGGATTCAAAGAGTTGGCCTGACGTCCTAGGCTATTGGCCTAAACTGCCTGAAATGCCAGTTCTTCTGTCATCTGTTGATCACCTTCTTCCCACAGGGAAGCTTGGCCTGCTCTGGGCTGAGAACAGCCACAGCTGCACAGTGATGAAGCCCTACACCAGTTTTTCCCAGGGAGGACAGACAGCTGCTCTCAGATTAGGACACGGGCAATCCATTTGGCACCTGGAAGCTTTTGTTGGGTTTAGGAGCAGCCACAGCCCTGCTCTGCTCTGCTGCTCAATTTGTGGGCTGCACCTGGAGAGCCCCCAAGGCAGACTGTACAACCTACGCTGTCAGTCCAGGATCATTGCCCTGATCCTTAATGTTACCATATCATAAGATATAAGCTGGGACATGGCCAGAATATTTTGATTACCAGGTGGGCCTCACAGTGCTGAGAGCAGAGCCCCCCTGTTCCAAAACAGCACTCACAGCCCAGACCTGCTCCTGGCTCTGCCTGAATCTCATTTCCATCTTGCTTACTAATTCAACTATTGCTTGTACCATAGTCACCTCCTCCAGGAAGCCTATTCTGAACTCCAAAGGTGGATTAGGTGCCTCCCTGGGGCTCCTGGATTCCCCACCTTGCAGGAGTTAAGGGTGCATTGCCATGTTCTTGACTGTGTGTTCTAAGAGAAGGAAGAAAGGAAGCCTTACTTTGAGCAATCTCAGTTTGCAAGCAAGACAGACATCTAATAAAGACACTGTAGGAAGCACCAATGCTCCCTGGGTACAGCCCCTCTCTTCAACTGCCCCAAGCATTTGAAGCTCAGTTCTGAGCTCATCATAGTCTGGAACATAAGCTAACTCTCCCCCCCACCCCAAGAATAAAACTCAGGCCCAATACTGGCCTCCCCAGAGCCCAAGGGCAGGGGCACTTACCAGTTGAGTAGGGGTCTGACTTGTGGTGCCGGGGTGAAGGGTGATGCTGGATAACTTGTTGAGGTTTGGCGGGCTGGGCTGGGGGTGGCTGCTGGCCTGGGGGTGGGTGGGGTGGCTGCTGGCCCGGGGGTGGTGGAGGTTGCTGGATGTGGGCGGAGAACTGCATGGGTTGCAAGTGTACGGGTCGTGGTGGGGGCTGGTGCTGCTGCTGGGGTGGCGGCTGGGGCTGGGGTGGTGGTGGTGGTGGTGGCTGCTGCTGGAGCTGCTGTTGCACAGAGGGATGGGGTGGGGGGGGCAGGGGTGGAGGGGGCTGTGATTGCACCTTCACGGAAGGGAGTAGCGGCGTTGGGGGCTGCACCTTCTGCAGTTGCTGCAGATACAGCTGCATCTGCATGGAGGTGAGGGGTGGGGCAGATGGCTCTTCATCCTCCAGCAACACTTGGGGTGGCTGGGGCATAGGGGGCTGTGGGAGCAGGGGTGGCTGAGTCAGGGCAGGTGACACGGCAGGGGGCCGGGTGGGCTTGGCGGGGAGGGCAGCAGCTCGGTTGCTGGGCCGCGATGGCTGCTGGGGCAGTGCGTTGTGCAAAGCTGGAAGAACACAATATTGTGGCAGTGAGGTCAAAGAGTCCTGTGACCAAGGCTAGCCTTTCTGCTCTACGCTGACCCCATCTGAACTCTAGTGACCTCCTTTTGGCCTCTTATCAACTAGCACTCTCTCCCCACCCTCTATAGCTGTGCTGTCCCCCCCAACCCTTCCGCTGGTTGTTTTCACACAGCTTCCTTAGGACTCAGTACAGGCCTTGGTCACCTACTCACAGACCTTCACCAGTTTATCAGGATGGTGGTGGTCCTGTCCTTCATTACCCACTACATGCTCTCCAGGCTCCACAGGACTAACTTTTATCAGGATGTGTTCCTACATCCCCCAAATGTGAACTGCAGAGGGATCCCATCATTTTTCACCTAACACAATGCCTGGTCCCACAAAAATGAATCCGTATCTTCTGACCTGAGCAGCTGAAGCTAAGAAGTTGTTTGAAGTACCCAGTTATGGCAGGGTAGAACCCAGGTGGAAGGGGGCAGTGCCACTGCTCACCTGGAGGAGAGACCACGGCGTGCTGGTTGAGATGGGGCGGAGTGCTGTGCTCAGGTGGTTGGGGCAGGTGAGGGGGCAGCTCAGGCTGCGGCAGATGCAGGATGGGCTGTGTGAAGTGGCCGATGGGGTCGAAGACACTGCCTGGGAGCTGCGGCTCCAGAACTGGCACCTGGGCTGCGATGAAGGGTGGGGGTGACGACTTCATCACGGGGGCTGCCTGCTGTGGCATGGAGGGTGTGGGTGGTGGTGGTGGGGGTGGTTGCTGCTGCTGCTGCTGCTGCTGCTGCGGAGGTGGCGGTGGTGGGGGCTGCTGGGGAGGAGGGGGTGGCTGCTGGGGTACAGGAGCTGGGGCCGGCTGCATCTGCTGATGGTGGTGGTGATGGTGCTGCAGGCAGACAGAAAGATATAGAGGCTGATATCAGGCAGGGACAACAGGCCCAGTCAGCCCCAAGGTGCCCCTGGGGCCGAAAACTGAGTGGCCTGCCAGCTCTCACCTAAGGGAGAGGACGACCCTGAGCCACATACCTTCTTCTGGTCCCTCCCGGGATGCCCCTTCTTTTTTGACTTCGGAGCCATCTCTGCAGAGAAAAAAAAAGGTGGTAAGGTTCTGGGGGAGGTCATAAGCTGGCTTTGAATGCAGAAGAGGAAAAAAAGGGTGCAGGGCTTTGAGGGTATCTAGGTTGGTCCAGAATGGTCATTTTGGGAAAGGGAATGATGGGTGTCACCTATCCATCCATGTTTCCAAGTGGGGGCTATGCCTGAAAAAAGCCTCTCCTGCCAAGCTTGACCACCAGTGCCATTAAAGGATCATCTGCTGGCCACAATGGAAATTGAGCTAAAGAGTTCTTGCCCAAGGCCTTCCCTTATCCGTGTGTCATTTTCATTGTCCATGTGCTCTGGACCCCAACTGGCTGTTTTGGGATAACCTACGATGTTGAAAATGATCCAATTCATTGAACCGCTGAGAAAAATGAGCTGAGAAGTTAAGAAGACTTGTTCAGGGTTACGCAGCTAAAGTGTAGCAATCTGGGGCCTCTAATTGCATTGCCTTCTGAGACCCTCACCTTCCCATTGTCCCAGGGGAAGCAATGGCTGGGGTTGAGAGACCAGTGCTGTCATAGCCTGGTCGCAGAACCACAGGATGAGTGAGGAAAGTACCATCAGTGGGAATGTAGAGAGGGTCCCCCCAGTGAGCACCTTTGGAGAGGAAAGGAAGCAAATTAGCCTCCACAGAAGGAACAGGTACAAACAGGGCAGATGCCCATTGTCATGGCTATCAGGAGGAGGACACCAGCCTGCTTCCTCTTCCCTCAGGGGAGAAGTCCATTCTCTGGGGCAGAGCCAACATGTTTCAGAGAAGACAGCATGTACCCTAACTTCTCCAGGGCCATTGGCTTGGTATTGACACCGTGTAGACATTTCTGGGGTGTGCCTGCCTCCTTGACGCAAACTTTATGGCCTGTGCACTCACCTCTGCTCCTTTCCCAGAGGTTCATGCTAAAGAATGTTTACCAGCTGGATACCTCCTCAACAGATGGTGTACCAGTTCCAGAGAAGGAAACCACCCCAGCCTGTGCTCCCAGGCTGGCAAGTAATATAGGTAGAATCTTTCAGATTCTTGTCATGGAGGCAAGAATCTCATACCTTGTACCTTTGCCTGGCTTCCCCTGAACTCCTTGCCAGGACGCCAAACCTTACTGCTGGTTTCAGAGGATGTATGCTTTGTCTAAATCAAGGCTACCTCTCTGCTCAGAGTTGTTTCTGTGCTAAGGGCTGTGCTAAGCTTTGGAGATGCATGACCTTGAAGTGCAGTGTGCCACCAAAGGGATGAGAAAAAACCTCATGCCTTGTAAAAGCTCATCACTCCATGGCAAAAGACAAGACATGGACACACACCTCAGCAGCTATAGACACATGTCCTCATACAAATGGTGAAGGCAGCAAGTGAGGACATCTAGGACATGGGAACCAAAGATGAGGTTCCAAACCCAAACACCAGGATACAGGGCTCAGGACTCTAGGTTAAGAGTAAAAATCTAGAGGGGTGTTCTTGTAGATGAGATATACAAAAGAGGGCAGTTTAGGTAAGCCTGCAGGGTCAAGGCAACATCTGTTTGCTGTGAGGCTGGAGGAACACTAGCTGGAGAGGCTAGATGCCTCTGGACCATAGGTGTGGTGAGGTTTGCAGAGCTCTGATGTCTTACGAGGCACAGGCCACTGAACCAAGGAATAGGAGGAGCAGTCCTGGACCTCTCCAGGATAAGCTCTTCTAGCACCTGTTCCAGTGCAAGGTGGTGGTGGGCCAGAGTAGCTATTCAAATGCTGGGCACACTTCTGAGGAAACTTGGCACAGAAAAGGGAAGTTAGGGAAAGAAGCGAGGTCACTATGTGAAGTCTGACCTAGAGAAGCCTCAGAAATATGTCCAGACACGGTCGAGTGGTGGAAAGGGGCTGAGTGGGGCCATGGTAGCATGTTGTCTAGTATCCTTAAACAAAGCATTCCTTTTTCCCTTACAGAAAGGAGGGGCAGTTGAGCAGAGGTCCACACGATCAGGCACGGGACCAAGTACTGCGGGCTCCTGGGGATTCTAAGGAGTGTCTTGGCTGCCTCGGAAAGCTCACAGGGAGTGTGTTCCAGGTTTGTCTCCTGAGACAAGGTGGAAGGCTGGACCCAGATGAGACTAAAGGAGCCAGTGGTGGGGCCAAGGAGAGATGGAGTGTGTTTTGGGACAGCCCTATTTGGCTCCCATAGCCTGGGCCTTGTGTTGGAGTTACCAGTAAGACAAGACATGGAGTGCACAGCTTCACAACACACCAGCCCCAGACACCCCCACACAAAACTCTCTGGAAAGGGTTACATGGAGATGGCCTCAAGTACTGTGTGATCTTTATTCCATGACAATCTTCAACTCAACACAAATTTCATCTTTACATAGGATATTAATTGTACAAAGGAATAAAACGTTTTGTAAAATCTGATTAAAACACTGATTTCTCCCATCCCACCCCCCACCCAGCCCCACTTCAGCCAAGGAGACAAAAAGGAGGGTGCAGGGCAGTGTGGGGTGGGGTAGAGAAGAGGAGCCCTCGCTAGCTCCCCAAAAGGACCCCAACTAGCCCTTGGCTGAATCCTTCTATTGCCTGGGAACAGGAAGCTGCCAACAAGGAAGTGTGTGGGTACTGTCCTCTCTGCTGTTTCCCAGGCACTCAGCACAGGTGACAGCTTAAGTCTATAGAGCTCTCAAGCTCAATGGGCTCTGGATATGCTCTGCCAGATGGAAGCCCCATAGGCAAGAAAGATGGGATGGAGAAGGACCAAGGAGGACCCAGCAGGAGAACTGGACTGTAGCTACAACCTGTATACACCTTGTCGGGGTGAGAAAAGGGGTGGCATGTGGCTGAGACACTGTGGGAATCCAGGCTGCCATTTGGTCCAAGACAGCAGAATCTTCCCAGAAAGATAATGCCAGCAGCTTCCCAAGTGTCCTGTGGGAATCTCTGGGCACAAAGCGCCCCATCCCAGCCAAGCCAAGTTCACTGGGAACACATAAGGCGCAGGCCAAAGGGCAGCTCAAAATAGTCTGTTTGGCAAATGGAGCTGACTGGAAGCCGGATGCCTGGAAAGGACTGGGAGTGGTTTAGGAACTCAGAAGTATCACTGCAGGGCCCTGGGAAATTTGGGGGAAGCTACGGCTAGACCCTGTGGCCACAGCAGGTCTGGAGCAGCACAAGGACACAAGGAGCTGGGGAGGGCTGCCAGACTTCTTCAGGCAGGCACCCACAACCTGACAATAAATGGCACCTCCTCAATGTGCTTCCAGCTCCAGAAGGCAGACTCCAAGGTTCCAGGAGATGGCAGACCTCTAGGAAATACACGTAAACTACACTTTTTAAAAAGAAGGGGAAAAAGAGCCCTCTAGAATGTAGATAGAGTTTCTTAGGGAACGTTTCATGTTAGGCAGTATTTTTTGCTGAGATGCTGGTCTCATGACCAAAAAAGGGCTGGTATTTAATTTTAGAGCAAAAAAGCTATCTGGTGCCCCTGGAAGGGCTTGGATGATGTGGCCACCCTCAAGTGCCCCAGCCCCAGTAACTGTCATCATCATTCTAGGGGACTGGTAATGCCCCTCAAAAGATAGGCAGCAGGTGGCCCACAAGGGGCTGTGGTTGACGGCCTGAGTGACCCTCACCAGAAGCTCTGGAAATTACTTTCCTCTTGAGGAAAGAGGCCAAAGAAGTTGGGAAAATGCCCACCAGGCAACATAAACTTCTAGAAATAGAAATAATGGGGATGGAAGGAGGATTTCAGGAGGCTTGAGTCAGCTGTGGCTGGTGATAGCCTCCTTATCAAGCCAACCAGGATGGCCCCACTGAGTCTTCCAGGGCCCAGATGGCCTTGTCTCTGAAGCCCGACTCCTTGTATGGGGAAGCTGGGGAGGTCAGAGTATTCTTTCTTATGCTAAATGAAATTCCTGGGCCAAAGTCACTTGAAGGCCTGAGAGGGAAGCACTTAGGGTCTGGAGTCTCAGAAAAAGAGGGAATGAAGAAAGAAAATATACTGTGATCAGGCTTTGCACATGGAGGAGCACCACATGTACACGTATATGGGGGGATTGTCATCACCCTCCAGGAGATGCTACCCACCCAAATGACCCCAGATGATCAGGGAGGCTGGGCACGATAGCCAGGCAGTCTTTGCACAGGGAGGCCTGGGCGGCCGGCCAGGCAGGCAGCCTTCCCAAAGGTGGGATTAGGCGTGTGCTGCTGGACATGACTAATCCACCCCAGGGGACAGGCCCAGGGCTCTGAGGAATTCCATAACTTGATGGAGTCCTGTCCCTTTCACAGAAGAAAATGGACTTAAGCTATAGCTTGCTGGGAAGGAATCTGGAACTGAAGACCGTTTTATTAAGAGTCCGTGTCCAATGATTAGGCAGGACCTACATAGAGGAAGAGAGAAACCAGTGTGAGAGAAATGGTGTGGAATGTACCATCAAGTCACAAGAACAGAAGAACTGCAGACTGAGCCAGTCTTCTGTGCCCCAGTGGCTGACAGGGCACGAGAGAATGGTGCTGGAGACTAGGAACCCTGCCTAAGGCAGGAACAGACCCCACCTTTCCTTTAGAAGGGCCATGGATCCAGCTTGTTCAGACCTCTCCAAAATTGCCCTGAGCTTATTCACACTTCTAGACAGAACACCTGTTTCCACTAACAAGTTCCATATGTGTCCCAACTGCCTGCCTGCTACATCTCCTTCACCATTACTAAGTTGCTCCCTTTCAATGTCAGAGACACCTCTCCCTGTCCCACTAGCCAGTATGTTAAGCCCATCAGTCATCTGCTAACTCGAGTCTTCTTCTTTGGTGTGGCTAGAGAACCACCACCCCTGACAGGGGTGTGGCGTGCAGGACCTCCAGATGAGGGAGGCAAAGAGCAGAGCCTCATCTTTGCGTTCCTCTAGATCCCCAAAGCAAAAACAAACAAATAATAAATAAACCCCATGAATTATAAAGAAGACTCCATGACACTACTGAAGAAGGGGGTGGGGATGGAGAAGGACCAAGGAGAAAAATCTTGTCCTTCCCTTCCTTTTCCAGGGCATCAAACATGGTTTCCGGATCAGGGAGGGGCACCAGGCAAGTCCACCCTTGCAGCAGCAGTAGAACAACCACACCTCTGCTGGAGTCCTGGATGCAACAACACACTGCTCCCTGGTCCTCAACACATGCCTGGGAAAACCCCACCCACCATGGCCTCTCACTGTAGGCCACATTCCATAAGGATGGCCCTCAACCCAGTGAAGCCTTAAACTCCTCCAGCTGTAATTCGTGTGTGTGTGTGTGTGTGTGTGTGTGTGTGTGTATACGGTTGTCACATGGCTGTGCAGACCCCCAACCCCTACATGGACTTCACTCCTTTCCAAGGGCAAATGTCATATCCTGGGAGCAGGCAAGCCATGGCCTAGAGATATGACTGGAATGAGTCCCTCAAAGACTCTGGGGGCCAAGAAGCCCAGACTGGTTTGGTTAAGAGTGTCCCATGGCCTCTCTCTGCACTTCCCAGCTCAAATCCTTCCAAAATATCCAACATTCCTTTTTACCCTGGAGCTAGTAAGAAACGCCCACATGCTCTCCAATCCTGGGAAAAGGAAATCAGGAGACTAAAATAGCTGCACTGCGTTCTGCTGTAACAGGACAAAATCAGAGAAAATCTCCTCATATGTCCCGGAACCTCTGTCTTGGCACAGATAGGTGTGGGGGATGCTCCTGAAAGGGATGCAAACTGTGCGGCCACCACTGCCTACCAAGACCTGTGCACAGCATTTGAGAAGTGCCAGATGTCAGCAACATGATAAGTGAGATCTGGAGGAAAGTCCTAGGATATCCCATGCCTCATGCCGGGGAGACTGGATCCCAGTGCTGGTGAAAGCAAAGGCTGCAGCCCACTGGGAATGGCAATGAGAAGGGGAGAACCTACAATGTCTGCCTCCAGCCTGCCCAGGCCAAGTCTGCAGGTGCTCTAGAAGTGGGGGAAGGGGGACATCTGGACACTAATCCTACATAAGCCAACACTGAACATGTAGTTCTATACTAGAGCTAGATTGAAGTCCACTGAAAACCATACAACGCAAGTAATAGCTCAGTTCAGAGGAAGTGGTGGGACAGCACTGCATGCTGCTGGGCAGGGAACAGGAAAATACACAGTGGTTAGGACCCAGCTGGGAAAGCAGCCCCCACACTCTCATCTGGGCAGTATCCCTAAACTGCAACCTGGCCCCAGAGGTTCAGGATCCCAGCCCTGATCAGCCTGCAGCATTTTTGCATGGATGGCTGCCAGAAGAGGGCTCCATTTACCACCCTTTTCCAGAATGATTTAGCACCACTCTTCAGTTTTTTTGGAGATTCATGCCCTGGACCATGTCAGAACTGATCCTTAATATAAGCAACAAAAATAGGCCCTTTCAAGAATTTCAATTCCAATACACATGGAAACATAAGAACAAGAAGGGCAAAACAAGTTCCAAAAGACCAAGGAGAACTATCTTCAGCACCCCACTACCCTTTCCACTTCCCCCAAGGCAGAGCTGCCTGTATCCACCATAGAAAATGGGACTTCTCTGCTTCTTTGGGACCTAGGAAAGCAGATATTGGAGGAGCTGCCTACTGGCACCCCTATCCCACCACCAGGAAGAGTACAATGTTCTCTGTGGCATGGGGTGGCAGAAAGATGTGTTCATCATTCACCATTGCCACATGTGTGCTCCCACTTTGGGAATCTGCTATACAAACCACTTATAGTAGGTCCCTCCTGAGCAGAAGTGCCCAGTCAGCTCATGACAGAGCTTGCCAGTGCATTTAGAAGGCAAAGAAAAAGCTACTGCTCCATCACCAGCCCTGCTTGCCAGCACTTAGAAGATAAAATGGAGCCAGGCAACACCCACGGTGGGGAGGACATTTGGGAAGAGAAGACAGCCCCCCTTGAGGCAGCTAAGGGAGTGGTTTGAGCCGGATGAAGGGAGCCTGAGAGCATGCGAGCCAGAAGTTCTACCACCGTAAATCTCACCCTCTATCCCGCCAGGACGGCCGTTCCCAGGACTCTCAAATTACTTGTTGTACAATCTTTCCACTTTCTTTAAAGGGGAAGTTAAAAAAAAAAAAAGGCAGCAATGGAGAGCTGCTGAAAATTAAGTTGTGGTATGGCCAGTAGCAGGAGTGGGGACAGGGCACCTGTGGGAGCCCAGGAGGGTTTCTGCCTAAAGCAAACATGGAGAAGAGGGCTGGAGGGGACCAGAAACAAAGTCCACAGTCAGAGACCTGCAATTAAGACATGATGATCACAGCCCCCTAAAATATAGCATCAGGCCAAAGCAGTCCCCTGCACAATCTAGCCAAGTTGTTTTAGTGATTAGGTCCCCTGCCAGTTCAGCCTTTGGAGGTTTTCTTTTGGCTAGTGGGATCTTTAGAAGAAAACCTAAAAAACCCCTGGAAGAAGCAGCGTGGTAGAAAACGCAAAATGTTCAAAAACTCAGAGGAAAGAAAACTGGAGGCTTGGCTGGCACTGAAAGTGAAAAAGTCAGTGTCTACCGGGAATGCTAATTGGGATTAAGAATACAGCTATTCACCCTGTCAAGGGCAGGACGCCCCCTGACATTCTCCCACCCCCAGCCCAGGGCCAGACCTTTTTGGCAGATCAGGTGTACAGCACCCCCTGCAGGCTGATGGAATAAAAAAAGTAAGGAGGGGGAGAAATAATACAAGTAATAAAAAAAGTTAGGTTGGTGTGTTAGGAAAAAACAGAAGGTGAAGAATGGCAACAAAGGAGGCTAACAACATGCCCCAGGCAGTATCTGCAGCCAGTGCTGAAGAAATGTAGAATAAACAAGCCTTAGCAGATTGTATCTCATTTAGGCTGATCAAAAATGAAGTAGTCTAGACTACAGGAGTCCTGGAGAAGCCCCAGCCCACCCCAAGTGCCTCTTTCCCCCAACCCCAGAACCCTTAAGCAGAGGTGGGCTCAGTCCATTTGACCCCATGTACACACACCTTGGAGCAACACAAATCCTCCCAACTGCTGCACAGAAGCCTTCACCTTCTTTGGAAATATTAGGCCATTATTTCTATGCATTCAATTTGTGGGGGTTAGCATTTATTTCAAATTAGATTAAAATTCTAACTGGGATAGGACTGTGGAAGAAAATGCCAGAAACCTCTTGACTCAAATACATGTTTCCAGATGGATCCGTATACCCCAATCCACCTGGCAAAGCACACCTGGGACCCCATGGTTGGGTTGCAGGTGTTTGGCTGCTGATCTACTCAGCTGATTGGACTTGACCTTTCCAGGGGCAAGCTCACTTATATGATATATGCACCAGGCCTCCCAGCTTCCACGGCTCCTTCTCTACCTCTCCCTGAGGCCAGCCTGAGAACTTGCCCCCTGAGAATAATGAGAAAAATGCACACCTAGTGAAAGCAGGCTCCTTCCTACCTAAACTAGCTCCCAGCATTGCCACTTGCCTGCCTCTGCCCTCCAGCTCTAAAGCTGCTACACAGAAGGTGGGCTCTGATGGGGCACCAGTGCAGATCCATAGAACACAAGGAACTGTTAGAAAAGCAGGACATAGGTGTCCAGGTACATGCAGAGTGAGAGCAGAACAAAGAGCATTCTACACAGTACTAAGCACACTCTGGAGAGGATTAAGTGCCCAGAGCCCAGACGACAATGGAATCAAAAGCAAACTGGCAATGAAGTCTGCCAGCTGCAGGTGGCTCAGCTCTCACCAGTCTGGCCAAGCACATTCTCTGCAATATAGCACTGTATGCAACAGTGATGTGGGCAACATGTAGGGATGCAGTCTTCCCTGGGGCAAAAGGCTAGGCAGGGCCACACCAAGGTGATGGCATCACCTGGGCACCAATACCCACAGTTCTGACCTAGTCCCCTGCTTGTTACCCACCTGAGTTCTGCAGTGTCAATGTTTTTTTTTTTTTTTAAGTATTTATTTTTTAGTTGTAGTAGGACACAAAGGTATCGTGTACACACACACTCACACACACAACACATATATATGTTATATATATATATATATATATATATATATATATATATATATATGTTGTAGATGGACACAATATCTTTATTTGTTTATTTTTATGTGATGCTGAGGACCGAACCCAGGGCCTCACACATGCTAGGCTAGTGCTCTACCGCTGAGCCACCACCCCAGCCCCAGTGTCAATGGTTTTGACTACTAGTCCTTCCTAGCTTAGGCCCCAGGAGTGGGGGTGTGAGGGACACATAAAGAGAATGACCACTGCATCACAGGGTTACTCACCTCCCCTCAGGGAAAAAGTTAACAAGGGAGATGGACAGACAGAAGAGCCCATCAGACTGTTGCCTTTGGGTACTGGTGGGAGGGGTCTAACACAATGCTTTACAAAGGAGTCACCTAACCTGTTTCGGAGTCTTCGCTGTCAGAGGAGCTGGACTCGCTGGTGCTCTCTGACTCTGAGGACGAGAAGCCCTTCATCTTGGAGGAGCCAGCAATCACATCAACTTTCTCAGCTGCAATTCAAGCAACAGACACTGTGTCAGGTAAGACCCCTACCCAGGAGGCTGCTGTTAGCTACGGCATATACAAAATGCCAGAGGAGGACAAGTGGGAAGCCTGTGCCTCATGGGTCTGAGCGCAGTACCTACCAGCTGCCACTGTTACAGGACCTGAGGGGTCCCACATTTCCTGCTAGTAACCACTACACACAGGCTTGTGCTGGAATTTCAAGACCTTATCAATTTCTTAGAAAATCCTTTGGAGGGTTTCTCAGGGATCTGGGGACAAGTCAGAGAGCTATTGTCAAGTACCGCTGGCCTTGGGGCTTCCCTAAGTTACCCTTCTGGCAGAGGATGAAAAGGACCTATAAGAGACATGATGCCAGAGACAAAGCAAGACAAGGGAAGAACCCCAGTGGTCTCCTAGAGCTCTCATCTAGTACACGGATGGAGGCCCAGGTGGATATTTTAATACAGCGCACTTGAAGAGGAGCCAGCCTGGGCTAGGAATATAAAGACTGTAAGTAAAAATGCTCCAACACAGATCCCAAGTACTATGGTCCCAAGGGAAAACTTATGCGCCAAGGTGAGGCATACACAACTTGAAAAACAAGCCTGGAGAGAGGCTCACATCTCTACTAGAGAAGGACAGAGCTTGGCTCAGTTCTGACATAATGTCAGTACACAGATCCCTGGGACATGGCAGGCCTGTCTTTCTTCCTGGCCTTGCTCTACCCTGGCTCCAGAGGTAGGAGGTAACTTTTGGGGGACTGAGTGATAGGTAGCTAAGGATGGAAACAGCTGCAGCTAAGAGTAAGGCTCAAAAGAGAGGTGCAGGTGGGCTGCAGACAGCCATCAGCCAGGGGATCTAGAAGGCTCTGATAGGTGAAGCATAAATGCCATAACCTTTCATAGGTTTTTGTGTTGAGGACATCGATTTTACAATAGGAAAAGAAGGATACAGAGGGAGAAAGGAGAGTCAGAAGGGAAAATTAACTGAGGGTGTCCACGAGAAGGACCCACATATCCAGAGGGCCCAAGTGCACCTTGAGGTTTCCTTTTCTTCCGCAAACAGGAGGTGACGTAGCGCTCCAATTCGCGCAGTGTGGACGGCTTCAGAGTTTCAAAGTCAATCTCAATCTCATCGGGATTGGAGTTCTTCAGTGAAGGCTCCCGTGACTGAATGATGTGCACCACGCGGCCCAGCTTCTCACCGGGGAGCTTGTTGATATCCAGGCTGAGCTGACGCTTTTCCTCATATGACATGGGTTTGCATTTGTCCTCTTCCTCTGACTCATATGTGGGAGGGGGCTTGCTCTTCATGGGTGCTGGCTCCTTCTTGCTATGAAGGGACGATGCAGACACCGTCAAGAACAGGTCTCCTGAGGAAGCCAGGCACTCATTCCTCCATGTATATGGGGGCAGGGGGCTTCCCACACCCCACCCAGCTGGTCTTCACAAGAAATAGGCTTGAGAAATTCATTCCCTGGGAATACCTAGTAAAAACTGACCAAGGGATGCACAAGCTGGGATGTGGCTGCATCCTTGGTGTCTACACCATACTATCCTCTCTTGCAAAACACAGAGAGCTCCAAAGACTCATCCCAAAGAAAAGGGAACAGAGAACAACTAAATGTTGCTGCAAGTGAGTGTCTGCCGGCCTGGCCCACCTCACCATGGGTGTGTTGGACAGAGGGTCCCCACCCAGAGTAGACTTGGGAAGCACAGACCTTGCACTGCTGTTGCTGCTGTTGTTTTTCTTCGTCTTTTTGGGAGGAAGTTCCTTGGCTTTGCTTTTCTTATTCTCCTCCACTTCCTCTTTCTTTTTGTGCTTTTCCTTTTTCTTTTCCTTCTTGTCCTTCTCCTTTTTCTTTGGTTTGTTCTGCTGGGGCTGCGAGAGGGCTGCAAGTTGTTCGTGCACGGCTTTGAGCTGTAGAGCAGACAGGCAAGATTTATACCCAGGGCTGAGATCTCCTTTTTATAACCCACACCCCGGGCATCAAACTATATGGTACAAGGACGCCATGGGGCCCCAAGAATCAGGGTATGGCACAGCAGGAAGCAGAGGTAGGGCTGGCCCTCAGTCAAGTGACCTGCCTCAATAATCAGATTCCAAAGTTCCCATGCTCACCCATTCCCCAAATTCCAAAGTATGCCAGGGTCCTCCTCAGAGGTTGGGCAAGAGTGTACAGATACATCAAGCACTAAGGACCCAATGACTAGCTTGGAGGGAGGGGGCAAGCAGACAGCCAGCCCCAGGAGAGATGGATATCCTGGCATGGCCTCCTCCTTCTAGACATGGAAAGGACACAGAAGCCTCATCTTTACCCAGAAAAATGAGCCCCCCTCCCCCAATACTACGTGTGTGATCAACACTTGATCTAGCAGATGGGAAAGGCCATAAGGGAACAAGTGGGAATGGACAGTCACGGACATCTCTCAGAAACCTCTAGGTCCATGGACTCTGAAGGCTGGTATCCTCACCTGCTCCTGGAGCTCAGCCAGCCGCTGGGCTCGCTCTTCCTCAGAGTCGTCAGTGGAACTGTCACTGTCCGAGGAGCTATCACTGCTGCTGTCACTGGATGAGGGTGGGGCCACCACCTTGGTGGGGGGTGGCACTGCTGGGGAGGACACAGCCACCACTGGCTCCTCAGGCTCATCTGGCATCTTGGCAAAGCGCATTTCAAATACATCCTGGGGAGGGAAGCCATGCCCGCAAGGGTCACCTTGATCTTACTGGCTACTGGGGTCAACTCAACGGGGAAGTAAGCAAGAGGGTAAAAGAAGGATGCAAGGATGAGGACCCCACTCTGCCACTAACATGGGTGGTGAGGAGCTGGCTCATGCCCTCTGGCTCAGGTCATTCAACACTCCTTTCTCAAATCTCACTAACTCATTAGTAGGGCCAAGTCCTAACATGGCTGGTACTCACTGAACAGGGTACACAATGACTCAGGTCCAGCTCACTGAGAACATTAGTTTGAGGGTGCTTGAAAAATGCTGGGCTCAAGGCAAAACCCTAAGAAATAGTGCCCTGAGGCTGCTGACTGCCATCAGATCTATGATTCCCAGAACAGGAGGCTCTGCCAGCCTTTGATTCCACAGGAAGCAATAAGAATTGCCATTACAGAGAAACTTGCAGGCAGAGGGAAGAGTATTTGCAAAGGCTACAAGATGGGAGTGTGCCTGGCAGAGTGCAAGGCCATATGCTTGAGTTTATATCCCCATTCTTCACAATAGTAGGGCCAAGTTCCTGGCTGAGACAGCTTCAGTGTACATAAGGCAGAGGTATGGGTGTACTGAAGAAAGGCTCAGTCACCTTGTGAGGTGCAAGTGACCTGAGCAGAGGCCATGGAGATGACTAGACATAGGAATTCATTCCAAGAGACCCTAAGATCTCCTGACTCCAAGATTCAAAAGTCATATAGAACTATGCGAAGTTTTAGAGCTCAGAGAACAGGAGCCTCATCTGGGGTTCCAAGGGTAAGGACATGCAAACCAGCTGGCAGGTTGCCCCCTGTATTCTGATGACTCCACCATCAATCCAGTGATTGCTCTGGACAAAAGTCAAAGGAACAGATTTCCTGGTAGGATTTTTTGTTGTTTATGGTGCTGGGAATAGAATCCAGGCTTCACACATGCTAGGCAAGTTTTCTACCAGATAGCCACTCCCAGACCTCCTAGCAGGACTCTGAGACATGCTTTAATCACAGAACAAAGTAATCAATGCAGCAATACATACAACAAAAGGTACCTTCTCTAAGTGTGTGTTCATGCTTCAGAGAGCAGTGCGTGGGGCCAAGCACTGAGGCTGCTGTTCCAACTCAGTGCACACTTGCTGAAGCCTGCCCTAGGACTCCCTCTTAAAGGATCAAGAAACACACTCTGAGGTTTCCTCTTCCAGGCAGCTAGAGGAGAGGGTGTCTTCTATAACAAACATGTCACTTCCCTCCCCTTCAGGCCACCCAGTGCACAGCTTCTTCCAGTAGGGCCCTCCCTGGGATTCTGTAGTGTGTTCAGTGGTTTGGCTGATGAAGTACTAGAAGAGCAATAACTTTCTAATCTACTCAGAAATAAATTCTTGAGTAGGCCTAAGGACAAGGACAAGGACAAAGATACAAAAGAGATGACTACAGCCTGTTGAGGAGAAGAAACCAGGCAGGAAGAAGGAGTTTCAAAACAGAGAAGGCCCCCAATGGGGCAGCATGCAAGATCCTTAAGCCCCACAGCACCTGGTCACGTGCCAGGAGAGCTGCTACCCCAATTCCAACCCACCAGAGCATCTTAGATGTGGACAGGCTCAGGTCCCATAAAGGGCAGCTAGGGCCACAAGATCCTAGAAGAGTCAGGCCTTCAGGAAAGAAGCAGAGGGAAGGATAGTGTTTCTGAGACATGTCAGGATAACAGGACATCACAAAAGGTGGTAACCAACTCTCCTCAGGTCAGAAGGCCTAGAGTGAAAGTTGCTTCAGGTCACTTGTCTGTATATGCAGTCTCTCTGGGCTGCCACAAGGACATCTCTGTTTCTCCGCCCTAGACTGTGGTTATTTTGGACAATGGGGATGAAGGTTGTAGCTCTGAGGTAGAGCGCTCACCTAGCCTGCATGAGGCACTTGGTTCGATTCTCAGCACCACATTAAAAAAAAAAAAGTATTGTCCACCAACAACTAAAAAATAAATATTAAAATAAAGATATAAAGACAATGTACACCTATCTCAAAACCATTTCCTGCCTCTGGGATACACTTCAGGCAGCACAATGTACTTTTCATTTACTTTTTCTCACTGCGATAAAACACCTGTGTATCACCTTGAATTTGTGATTTTTTTCTTCTGCAAATAAATCTCTGGTGATAGCCACATGGACTGCAATCACTACCAAACTTTCTAAATTACTCTTATATAACAGAACAGAGAGCAGAAGGCAGGGCCAGCAGCAGCTCTGGATGTATGGATGGCCTTTAGCCCACGCCTCCTTTAGGCTCCAGAGGAAATTTTTAAGTCTAGAAGCCACTGGCCATCTTTGTGACTGTGGCTGCCAGAATGGTAGATACAAATTTTCTTAAGTGGCTGAAGGAGGAAAATGAAATAGATTCTTTTCTATTTAACTTTTTAGATAAATCCCACTCCATTGGCATAACCTAATTAAGAAACTTAACTAAGCAGGTCCCAATACCTCTTAAACAGTAAGCAAGGGCAAGGGCTTTGTCCATGTCTGTCATACTCTCCCCCACCCCAATGAAAACTCTAATCATCAAAAAACATGCCGCTGGGCGCAATGGTGCACAACTGTGATCCCAGTGGCTCAGGAGACTGAGACAGAGGATCACGAGTTCAAAGCCAGCCTCAGCAAAAGTGAGGTGCTAAGCAACTCAGTGAGACCCTGTTTCTAAATAAAATATAAAGTAGGGCTGGGGATGTGGCTCAGTGGTCTAGTTTTCCTGAATACAATCCCTGGTACACCACTCCCAACACAAAAAACCCCCAAATCCAAGCTGATATCGAAGAACTTAAGGCTACCTGTCTCCTGGCAGGAAGAGATGGCACTATTTTCAGAGGCAAGCATCTCAATGGCAGTACTACAGGTTAAAAAACTGCATGTCTAAACAGGTTTAACCCTTCCGAAAAGGATAGATACTGGGGACTGAATACAGGGGCATTTAACCACTGAGCCACATGCCCAGGCCTTTTTTGTATTTCATTTAGAGACAGTGCCTCAGTGAGTTGCTGAGGCTGGTTTTGAACTTGCAATTCTCCTGCTTTAGCTTCCCTGAGCCGCTGTATTACAGAAGTGCATCACCATGCCTTAAAACCCCTAAAACTTTTTTTTTTTTTTTTTTTTTGGAAAAGCAGAAATTGTGAAGAGAAAGCAGCTCTACAGTTTGAGCTGAGGATAGGGAAAAAGATACAGAAATTAGGAAAAGAAAGCTAGAACATATTAGAGGATGCTTTCTTTTTCTTCCCTTTCCCTAACAAAGTGGCTCAAAACAGCACCCTCCAGGGCTGGCAGAGAACTTGTTTGGGTTCTGCTGTATTCATAAGGATAAAGAAAGGGCACAACTATCTAACATGGATAAAAGCTAACAGTCTTCTCAAGAGAATAGGGAGTGAAGAAGGAGAAGCATTTAAGACACAAATCTGTAGCCATCACTGCCACCAGGTGGTCCTGTATAAGAATTGCAGTAAAATTAGAAAGCCTGAACTCTTTCAAGAATGGGACATGTGGGGCTGGGGATGTGGCTCAAGCGGTAGCGCGCTGGCCTGGCATGCATGAGGCCCGGGTTCGATCCTCAGCACCACATACAAACAAAGATGTTGTGTCCGCCGAAAACTGAAAAATAAATATTGAAATTAAAAAAAAAAAGAATGGGACATGTGAGTTGGGTTGTGGCTCAGTGTTACAGCGCTCGCTCGCCTTATGTGTGTGAAGCCCTGGGTTCGAGCCTCAGCACCACATAAAAATAAATTGACTTATTTAATCATGTCCATCCATCTACAACAACAACAAAAAATAATGGGACATGTAAACACTAAGGGGCAAAGGGGCAGTCGTCTTTATGAAGATGGGTAGCACTACATGAAAAGGGAGCACAACTCTCCACTCCCTGCCAAATTCAGGGAAAAAAAAAAAAAACCAAGAAACAAGTCCTAAATATAAAAATCTTTAAATCTGAGCATGCATTTGAGTAATAAGGCCAGGTCCACATTAGCAAGAGCAAGCTCACCTGGCCCTACAAGAAAGTGTTTTATTTCTTATGCCAGAATTTGAGAACATATCCTCTAAACTAAAGACAGCCCCTGACCAGATACAGGCTGAATGACAGAACCAGGATGGGGCTACATAACAATGGAGAAGGAAGACACTATGGTATGAGTCTGGGACAGTGTACGGAACTGGTAGAACTGAAAGGTGGGCAAGTGAGACTCTGGTAACCTCTGTGTAGCACAAACTCACAAGTCACCAAAAGCTTACCAAGTCCTCAATTTCAGAAGAACTCTGTTTATACAGATGGCTGTATAAACCAGGCAGGAGAAAGCTTTGAGACCCACAACCAGTAAACCTGTATCTTGTGATAACAGGTGGCTTGGCCCTAAGCCTGCTAGGAAATCTGAAAGTAGAAACAACCTATGGCCCTGGGAAGATAAATTCCCTAAGAATTTCAAAAAGCAGGTTATAAATAAGCATTAAATAATGATTTTATTCTTTAAAAAGTTTTTTTTTTGGGTGTGCATGCGTGCATGAGCGGGCCCAGGGCCCTGTACATGTTAGGACAGCACCCTATCACTGAACCACATCCCCAGCCCTGTATCTCCAAAATTCTTATTACCCAAAGATAATCAGGTATCTACTTCCAAGTACTTAATTTTTCTTTCTTTAAAATAAAGAAAAGCAGAATCAGTTTATACATTTACGCTAAAATATCCCCGCTGTGTGAATTTTACTACCCAGGACTTAACTTGGAGGACAGGGTCCTCGAACTCCTCCCTTTAGAGAACTATGGTCATGTGGAACATCAAGAAAGAGGCACTCTGCAGTCAAAAGGCAAACAAAGCCTTTCAAGGCTTTGGTGAAGAAACCCAGGTGAGCAGTTAATTTGGCTCACAAGTGCAATGAATTGTTTACCTGGCAAGAGTGTCTCCTGCTGACTTCAGAAAAGTCTATTTTAAAGAGGATTCTGGGCCATGCACAGCACATACACTTTTTTGGCCAAGGGCACCAGAATGTAGGTGGAGGGTAAGGAGGGAGCTTTCAATGGAGTACCCCCCAAAAAAACAGCCATCCTGCTTCAATAACCAACTTTAATGCATGCATTAGTTTGAGTTGAATCAACACTTCTAAAACTATGTGGCATTATCAAAGTAATTGAAATTAAATCTGCTAATATTCCTAAGAGATTTGACCCCTTCTCCCCAAAGCCTCACCTGGAGCTTTCGGGCCATGGCTACCACCTCATGGTCAGGAGGGTTGTACTTGTAGCAGTTGGAAAACATCAATCGGACATCGGCACCAAATTCCTGAGCATCTCGGTACTCACGGGACTCTAATTTAGACTAGAAAAACAAGACAGGTTCCATTTAGCCTTGTCTGCCTGTGTTTTTATGGGGAGGTAGCCACTGAATGTGGTAGCAGCAAAAGCTGCTTAAGGAGCAGGTTGGCTTCTTAGTGGCTTTTGGTTTAAATCAGGCCCAGGTGGTGGTGGTGATGGAAGGGAGAAGCTATTGCCCCAGTTCTCAGCATCAGATGCCCAAGGAGACACTCAAAAGCAAGTCTCTGGGCAGACAATTTCCAGCTTAACAAATCAAGTTCACCTGGGTTGTCACTGTGACTGGCTAAAGGGCAAGAGACAGAATCCCAGGAGGCAAAAGTTAGGCCAGAATTGAAGCAGGGAAGATGAAAGGAGGGCTGCATCCAGTTCAGATTTTTGCATATACTTTTTCTCCCACAGAGGAGACAGCAAGGTCCTCTTTATCACAGAGAGCCTGGCAAAATCACCAATCCCCAAGTTCTTCTGGAACCAAGGCAATGGAGGACACATCTCAGTTCTCCTGATAAGGAGAATGGGGCAGCACCACTGCTTGCAACCAAAATAGCCAAGCACATTGTCTCAATGCACATCCCCCAACTCCCAGCAGGTGGCACCAGGTTTCTTTGGGCAGCTGGGAAAGTACATAGCTACACAGTTTGTGGAAGCTGAAGGCCAGGGTCTGGTCTAGGAGGAAAGCTGGGGAGGGAGGGCTCACCTTGATTGTGCTCATGTCCATAGGGTGTTTGATGATGTCACAGTAGTCGTGCAGGCCCAGAGCCTCCACATCCACAGGCTTATAGAAAGGCCAGGCGTAGGCAGCATGCTTCTTGGCGAACATCTCCTTGAGGATGCCACTGCAGCACTTGAGCTGCTCCGATACCTTGCTGCTCTTTTCTGGCACTGGGTGCTGCTGCGAGTCTGGCACATCCTTCTTTGGGGGCTTCACAGGCCGGCTGCTCTCCCGCCGGGGGCCCAGCTTGGTGATCTTGGGTTCTGGAGCCAGTGAGGGTGGCTCATGAATGGAGTCAATGGTGGTGGGAGTGGTGGTATCCGCTTTCCTCTTCACCCCCTTCTTTGTCTGTCAGAAGTATAGGTGTAAAAGGCTCGGTCAAACATGGCAGCCAGTATAGCCACTCCTCGGATCTCCCCTAAACCAGGCCCTATACAGGGTCTCAACACTCTCAGTGATTGGACTCAGAAGTAATTGGGCAGGCAAAAGATTGAGGACAGGGAGATCCTGTCCTATCACTCTGCTTTGTAGCTAGGATGGGAAAAGACGGTGATAGGAGAAAGTACACAACTCAGTACAGGATTCAGGTCAAAGAAGCCTAATAAAGCCCTTTCCTACAAAATGCTAGAGACCTTTCCCACAGTAGGCACAACTATTCAGATGACACCTGCAAACATGCAGTCTAAATTAGAGGCAGAGGAAGGGGGAAGGTATCCACTGGGGAATGTAATATGATTATTAATCTTTGGGTCATCAAGATATTTGCTTTTGGGATGCAATTTATACATAGTGAGATGACCCAGTCAGTGCCTAGGACAGGTTCTGCACAAAACCATTAGAAAGGACAAGACTACTTGTCTCCTGTAAGACCCCATTCCTTGGTGGTAGCAACTGGCCGGTACTCTAGATGCTCACCTTCACAGGCTGTGGGGTGGCTGCGATGATGGGTGGATGGTTCTGCACAGGCTGTGGGGCTGGAGCAGCTGGGGGTGGTGGCTGAGGTGGCACTGGTGGGGGTGTCTGCAGTGGCTGGGGAGGCACCACCGTCATAACAGGGGTCTGAACGATGAGGTCTGGGGTGACAGCAGGGAACGGGTGAGGTGTGGCCTGCACAGGTGGAGGGTTCTGCTGAGGGGTCTGGGTCTGCGGAGGAGTTGATGCTTGAGTTGTGTTTGGTACCGTGGAGATGCCAGGTTTTGCTGTCCCTACCAATAATAAAAAGGACAGGAAGTTAGAAGCTGTACTAAACACACTGGCTGACTTTACCAGGATACTAGCACACAAATACATGGTGCATTTGTCCCAGAGACAATGTCTCCCATACCCCAAATGCCACTGTACCAACCCATTCATAAGCCCCAGGCCTGGAGAGCACCACAATTTCTGGGGCATCGTGACCATAACTCCCCACTTAGGCACAAATGTTACTTCAAAGATGGGATAAAGGAACAGGAAATTCATGCTGAATGTTAGCATAAGGATTATAAATGGACATCAGAGAAATGCTCCTTAGAGCACTCAGCCAAAGCTGACCTCATTCCCTAAAGTATTGCCTTTAGGTGTTCCTGGCAGATGCCAGCAGCAACCACCTTCACCAAGGTTTCTGTAAACTGGTACAACCTCATCTCTTGGCATCACTGGGTTCAGTGGACAGCTGCTGGGCTTTTTTTTTTTTTTTTTTTTTTTTGACTACCTCAAGCTGCATCCCTTCAGCTGTGTGGATGGGTGGGAAAACAAACTAGTCACACAGCATACCCAACCAGCTCCAAAAATAAGGGGTTATGACCAGAGCTCTAACATGAGCAAGTGGACCATGAAATCTGAACCTGGGAGTATGATCTGGATTTCCACATCCTTTGCATGCACACTGGCTGCTATGCAAAGGAATACAAATGCCAAATGCTCTGTAAAAGCAGCCTTCATTTCTAGGCTGTCTAGGCTCCCTGTGAAGAGCAAGGGGGAGGTTCTGTGGTTCTGTGAGTTTCCCAATTCTCCTTCCCCAGACACTACATTTGGCCTTCTCCCCAAATTGGAACAGAGAGCAAGGAATAGGCTCCTCATGTTAAGAAAAAGGAAGAGCCAAAAGTGTTCAGCAAGACTGGTTTTCCTTGGTTACTTCAGGTACTGCAGAGGACTCAGCTGACCACTGTGCCACTTCAGAAGAGGATGGAAGACCAGGCTAAAGATTCCTCCTTAAGAAAAGCACAAGAAGGATACCCAGGACTGCCTCAAAAACGTTGTTCTTCTGCAGCACAGAGCCACAAAGGACAAGATGAAGGAAGCAGTTAAGATATTTTCTTAGTCAAAAACATTTCTTTTGAATGGGCAGCTAACCTCTGGAAACCTGTGTCAATTGGGGTGTGTATGGGGGAAGACATGATAGGACATGCAGAGATACACAAGAAGGGCAATAACTGACTTCAGATGACTAAGCATCAAAGACAGGCATGGCTGTGACACAAGTGCATTAGGGTAATTCAGATAACAAACCTCAAGACTTTAGGACAGAGACACTGGCTAAAACTGCTTTTGGATGAATTAAATAAAAAATAAGGGGATGGGGATGTGGCTCAAGTGGTAGTGCGCTCGTCTGGCATGTGTGCGGCCCGGGTTTGATCCTCAGCACCACATACAAACAAAGATGTTGTGTCCGCCGAAAACTAAAAAATAAATATTAAAAAAAAAAATTCTCTCTCAAAAAATAAAATAAAATAAAATAAAACGGAAAGGTAAAAACATCTATAGAACTAGCAAGATGAGAGTTCAAACAATGTCTAAGTGGTTGAAAAAGCTGTGCTGTCTTTTTGATCTAAGTAAATCAACCATTTTCTACAAGGCAGGGCCCAACAATGGCTACTTGGGAGAGGTCACAAGGTCATGGGATCCTGTGGAGGAGATCCAGTACTGAAATTAACCCCACAGAGTTCAAAATAGCATCACTTTGGTGTATGCTCTCACCATCTACTTCCTCACAACTCCAAGTCCTCTATTAAACCTGGAAAAGGATCAAATACCAGGTAGAAACAAAACCAATCTGTTTGCTTTTTCAGTACTTTACCTGCTTCTTTTCTCCCACGTCCTCTTCCTTTTGCCTGGACTATCATGATCTCAGTTTCTTCTGTGGGCAGTTCATTGATTTTTTGCAAGAAGAGCTTCTCCAGAGCTTCTGCCATTAAGACGATGTCATCTCCAGGCTGGATGAGGAGAGATACAGGTAGTGCTGGAAGCCCTCCCCTCCCCACCTCTATGGATGGGCCACCTGGGGCCACCCCTTACCCCAATGCATAAAGCATTATATTCAGGCTCCTTCTCTGATCTGACCCCAAAGGGCCACAACAGTTATTATACTACCAGGTGTCCCTACAGGGGTGCTGAGCCTGCACTTGTTTACTGCAATTCCCTCTCTCATAGCTTAAATTCCGGCCTGAGAAACCATCCTAGTGCCTTAAGCATCTACCAAGTTCAGTCAATCCCTGACAGGGGCTCTCCTTGCTTTAGGGCCTCCTTGGACACAACTCATATTATTTCACTAGAAATACTTGAATTACACAGGATTTCTTGCCATGAATACTTTAGTAGGGCTCCAAGAGTGCTCCCCAATATACCCCCAAGGCAGCTTAGTGGGGTATAGACAAGGCCCATTTCACACTGTTTCATGGGTCCCCTCTATCACCTTGTCCAGACATGCTCTTCCCACTCAGCTCTAAACCATGGGCCTGGTTTGTACATGTCACTGCCACCTAAGTGAGGAGAGCTAAGACTTTACAAAACATGGTAAACTTCAAGAAACTCACCTACCCATCTCTTCTGGGCAATTTTACCCACTACACCAGCAGAGGTCAAAAGCTGAGTTCTGTATAGTGTCTCCCTCCAGAGTCGTTCTATGAAAGGGTTGGTTTTAATCACATCTGTGGTCTGAACTGTAAACAAATGATCTGGCTTCATGGCACAGCCGAGCCGAAAGGTTTGACTAGGGGGTTAGGAAGTGACCCTTGGGTCTACATGTAAGATCAATCAGGGGGACACTCAATTCTATGGCCAAGATTTATCAATGGTCATGTCCACAGTTCCAGGAGACTGTGACCCACAGAACTAGTAGGCTCTGTGGTCAGCCCCAATGTACCCTCTCACACATGGAGGTTTCTGTCTGCACACACCTCTGCATGACTACATTTGAATAGGCTTTCCCTGACAATTTATACCATCCCGGTGGACTGTCCTTCTCAAACCTCTCTACTAGACATGCAGAGGAACCAAATCCCAAGGGTACCAGAAGCACATGCTTCAGGCTCACAAGGACAGCTTAAGTGGCCAGTACCCTCCTCCCCACAAATGAAACACACCCAGTCCCAGGCAAAACCACAGGTCTGTCGCCTCCACCTGTCTCCTGCTGTCAAGACTCCAAGCCCAGCTCCCAGCATTCCTCCCTAAGGCTCCGGACAGGTCTCCCATCTCCTTCACCCAGAATAGCTGGGCACCCACCCCCACATCTCACCTTGTTGTAGATGTAACAATTTGTAAACATTGTGTTGAAGTCCTGGATACATTCCTGAGCATTCCAGTAATAGTTGTTTTCCAAGCGTTTCTTTATTGTTCCCATATCCATAGGTGTTTTAATGATCTTATAGTAATCCTGGGGAGTGGAAAGAGCAAAGGCCAGTGTCATCTCAGCAGCCATGCTGGGACAGCCAGATGGTCTGTGGGGCTCACTCAGGTTATTCCACAGGTAAAGCAAAGAGTCAGAGCACATACTTTCCATGGTGTCAGTGAGTGACCTCCAGAGGAACCCAAAAAAGTAAATCAGGGAAGGATTCCTAAATGCTAGGTGGCAATTTGGAAGGAAAATATGCAAGCTGCCAACTGCCCTGTCCTGAAACACATTTTTTATCAAAATTTCCCCCCTTTTCTTCTCAATGTTAAATATTCACTCATTTTTAATAAATAATGGTGAAAGTACACACAGCCTTTAAAAAGAAGTTTTTTTTAGTAAAACAATCACAGCAGGGCCTCTTTTGTCCTCACCATTTGATATTTTAATCATCCAAAAAATTGCAAATCCCCCTGGCACCAGTGTTGGAGCCTCTCCCCTACAAATGCTCAGGAAGAACTATAAGGCACAAACCTCAACCTTTAGTCAAGTTCATGGGACTTCAACACTTCTTTCACTAGCATGTAGTATACCACTATAGTTTCATTAGTATCCAAATTTGGGTATAGAATGAACCACAATGAAGTACTTTTAAGGAAAGCATCCAACAGACACAATCCTCAAACTTTGGATCTTGAAGGGGCCCCAGAGAGCAGATATGTATGTTCTAAGGTCTTTGAAATCAAACTGTGTACTACTATCCTCACAGCTTTTCTCTATATCTAAACTATTCTAAATCCAAGAGCTTATTTTCAAAAACATACAAGGAAACTGAAGATAGATCAAATAGTGCTAGGTTTCCAAGAAGAAACACAAAGGACCAGGCAGGAGGCTCAATAAGTGTTGGTCTAACTCTGACTTCTTGTCCAGACCCATTGAGAACTACATTCTTTGAGGTCATCTCCCCAAGTCAGGATGAAGATTCCCAAAATTTAGCTACATTTTGGTAGAATATCAAGTACAGTGGGTCAGCTAGGGGTAGAAAAGCTGTTGCAGAAGAGAGAGCAAAACTACTATCAGTGAGTACCAGATCCTGCTGATATTGATAGTGGGCAGAAGGGTTTTAAGTTGCTCTGAAATCACTTCAATGTAAGGGCTACATATGCACACTCCAGGCACCTAGGGAGAAGAAGACCTAGTTCAAGAAAGGAACTCAAGGCTAAACTTACTACACTAGATATACTATGCTCTAGTTGCCTTTCCCAAGAGAACCACGCTCAAATACCCCAGACCCAAAGGATATCTAGATTTTATTCTTGATCAAAGGTTTGTAAGATAGTATTCAGTGTTTTCATTGGCCACAATATATCAAGTGGCTTAGAGACAAAGAGCATAATGGTAGAGGGTAGACTAAGAGGGAGCTGGGATGGAGGCAAAAGCAGAATGTTTAGGACATGATAAATAAAGGCCAAAATGCAGGTGAAGATCAGGAAAACAGAAAAAGGGAAGTGGCTCTATTAACAGCTCTTGCTTGATAAAGAAGGAGCTTTTCGGGCTGGGACTGTGGCTCGTGGTAGACCGCTTGCCTAGCATGTGTGAGGTCCTGAGTTCGATCCTCAGCACCACATAAAAACAAATAAATAAAATAAAAAAGATATTGTGTCCAACTTAAAAAAAAAAACAAAAAAAAACTTTCCATGTGAGACTGCTCAGGTGGCTAGACAGGTAGTCTACCAGGAGCAGTGAGATGATGGCCACCCTTGGGAGTCAGTCTCCATTTCACATAAACTGATCCCTTGGTCTCATCAACCATACTTCCCACCCAACTATTCCACTGGCCAGTGCTGTTCCCTCAACCTTACCTGAGACGCTGCCTTCTCAGAGATCTCAAGTTCCTTAAATTCCCCTTTCCTTGGTCTTTGCCCTCTCAACCCTCCAGGCCTTTGTTTCCCACTCATGCAGTCTTCCTATAACAAACTGATCCTTCCATTACTCTGGTTCTGACACATTTCCCTTCAAAGCCAAGTTTCTTGAAATGGATGCTTTTATCCTCACCTTCTCAATCCAACCATAACAAATCTAATTTCTATTTCTGTGTTGCATCTTCCTAAGGTCACCAATGCCTTCTAAAAGGCCAACAAGGCAGTCAGATTTGAATCTTCATCTCTGATTTCCCTGTAGTCTCTGATACAGAAATTTGGGGGAACTGTTGTCTGCTGGAGATTCTCTCACCTTTGTGTAGGCCTCCTACTACCCACCCCTGCCCTCCTCTCTCCCTGAAATCCTTAGAGGCCCTAGGTTGCCCTGGATTCCCTTCTGCAGCAGGTTCTTTGCATTTGCTTTAGAATGTCACCCTCAACTGTGGACCTTGCATAGCCCAGTCATACCCATGCAGCAAACAACCCCAGCCAGGTGCCTCTGTTCCTTGTCTTGGTCAATGGTACACATGGTACCCCTTTGCCTTTATCCCTTTCCTGAGCCAGTTCATTACCCAAATCTGCAGCGCCCTCTCTCCAGCCTCCTCCCCCTCTCCAGCCTCCTCTTTCCCGGGGTGTTTATGATGCATATTTAGTGGACAGGTCGCACTGAATAGTTGTCACCGACATAAGATTTCCAAGCCAGGAAGGTATCCCTACTCCTACAATCTAGATGCCTGGTGGAAGCTAAGTCTGCTCCTCCACATAAGCAGTTCCAGCACTCATAAACCCAACTTGGGTCAGTGGTTACTGCCACCTAATTCACTCACCAAGTTATGTAAGACTTAGCATATAACAGAGGACAATTTAGAAATAAGTCCTTGATGTTTTTGAAGGTAAGAAAAAAATTAAAACATTTATTAACCTTAGGTCCCCTGAGGTTCGGTCACGAGACAAGTTATGATTACAGAGCAGCAGACGTGGACAAATTAAAGAAAACTCTCCAGTGGGGCTGGAGATATAGCTCAGTTGGTGGAGACACTGTAGCCACCAAAAGGGAGATGGGCAAAGCTGCTTTCCAAGGGACCTGGCCTATTTCTCTCCCCTAGGGTCACCTCTATGTACTTGCTCCCTGGGAAATAACCTGAAGCTTTTCCCCAGCCTTCATTAAGTGACAGTGACAATGATGCTAGCTTCTGCTGCTGCATGAAACCAGTTCTACAGCAAAGTCTAACCTTGCCTACTTCTACTGAACAAGCAAACCATAGCTGAAAAGGGAAGGAGACGGGCTGGGGATGTGGCTCAAGTGGTAGCGCGTTCGCCTGGCATGCGTGCGGCCCGGGTTCGATCCTCAGCACCACATACCAACAAAGATGTTGTGTCCGCCGAGAACTAAAAAATAAATATTAAAAAAAAAAATTCTTTCTCTCTCTCTTTAAAAAAAAAAAAAAAAAAAAAGGGGAGGAGACAAGGACTACCATGTGCTCTGATTTCAGCTCACCATGAAACTGGACAGAAACTTGTAAGCAGTCTTTCCTGTTTGTTTCACCCAACTTTACTCAACTGCTCTCAACTCTCTCCAGGGTCCAGTAGCTAAGAAACCAGTTACTTTGTTCTTTTTCTTTTCCCTCATTTGTTTTCTTCTTCTTTTGTTATTGGGGACTGAATCCAGGAGCATTCTACTTCTGAACTATTTGGTGGACAGAGCCTAGCCCTTTTATTTTAAGACAGGGCCTTGCTAAGTTGCCCATGTTCATTTTGAACTTGTGATCCTCTTGCCTCCACCTCCTAAGTAGCTGGGATTACAAGCATGTGCCACCACATGCCTGGCTTCTCCTTCCCCCATTAAACCAGACACTCAAAGGCCCCACAGGTGCTGGTATTCAGAGCTTTCACCATGGCTCCAAATCCATCTGTCCCTTCCCTTGGAATGTGTCTTGACCTGGAGACACACAGAAGGGGAACAACCATGAACCCTGCCCAAATTACTCACAGGGAGGTTTAGCTTGACCGCATCCACAGGCTGTTGGAAAGGCCATGCAAACTGGTGTTTCCATAGTGTCTTGAGCACCACTCTGAGCAGATATTGCAGTTGGTTGGTCTGCCTCTTGGGCTTATTGGGATTTGAGGTCTCCGGAGGTGGGGGATTGGTGCTGGCTGCGTTGGCTGGCTGGGGTTGGGCCTGGGCCTGCGTTGTAGACATTTGGGAGGTTTCTAGTCCATCCCCCATTACTGGCAGATTTCTCAATCTTGTCCCAGGGCCACTCTCCGCAGACATGCTAGTGATCCCATCACATTCTTCACCAGGCACTCTACAAGGGAAGAGAAAAGTCCCATCAGAGACAAGGCAGTAACATGTTCTCCTGTGTGGGGCCTCCAAGGACTGAGTTACTCTGACAGTGATTGGCCAGGTCATAACTCCATGCCCCAACTAAAAGGGCTACAATGCCTGTTCTCCAAGATTTGCCATACATCAGGGATGAAAAAGAGAGAACCAACAAACAGTGAGGGGCAGAGCACAGAGGTAGGAGCTAACCAGAAGCCAAGGGTGGTGGGGGGCAGCACTGGACACTACAGAATTTACAGGGGAGGAGGTACAATAAAGCTGTTCCACAAATCTATATGTCCTTATTTCCATCTTCAGGAGTTCAGAGAATGCTGAAGGAAGATTTGCAAGGCCCCTAATTTGGCATTTACATTCAAATTCTTATTTGTATTAGATGCTTACAAAGCACTGAAAAAAGTCAGTAATTCCATTTGGTGAACCAAGGCCAGGCAGGGAAAAGCAGGCTGGATGGCCCACACAGTCCACTGTTGAATGCTCTGGGCATTGTCTCACACTTACTAAGAACATTTCTTGGTAACTTAAATTTTTATGTTTGCTCATGGGGAAAAAAAAAATCCCACAAAAAGTTACTGCTGATTAGAATTTAACAAACAAAAATCTCCAGCAACTTGGGAGGTGGAAGTAAAGAGGTTCCAAGTTTGAGATAAGCTTCAGAAACTTAACAAGACCTTGTCGCAAATAAAAATGACTGGGAATACAGCTCAGCACAAAAGAGCCCCTGCATTCCATTCCCCAATGGGGTTGAGGGGATCCATACTCCACTTAGCACTTTATCAACCAAAAAGAAAGGGCATCTCTCATGACAAAACCTTGCTTGGCTGTCAGTGCTCATGAGTGCTACCCTGTTCCCTTCCCTGAACAACTCCTGCTGAAGGTCACACCAACTCTACAAACCACGCTGCAAGAATCCTTGCAAAGGCGACTTCATGCAACTGTCCATATATTCCAATGTCACAAACGCCAAGATGTACGTACAACGACCAGTTGGGGATATACGAATTTTTATTGCAAACTGCCCTTCAGAAACATAGCAATCCACCCTTTACTCACAGTGCCAGGAGTTCTCATGCTGGCTATTAATGAGAAGAAACATTTGCTTAAATGTGCAGGCCATTTGCATTCTTTATGTCTTGTATGACACTTTTCTACTGGCAAGAAAGAAGTATGGCCAGCTTTCAACTCAGGCTCAGCAGTAAGAAAAATAATAAACTGGGGGCTGCCTGCATCTAATATGCATATCTAGGAATGAACCTGGCAGTTCAGCAGAGGTAAGAAAACCTTTCTGATTCAGGAATCAGTTGAGGCTTTCAGGAACACAGGTAGGCAGAGGGATAAGAAAAGGCAGGTAAAGCTAGCTGGCGGTCATGGCTTTCATTCTGGTACATTCTGGAATAAACTTTATCAAGAAGCAGTTTATGCCTAGGCCTTCTAGATGTTGATCAAATACTTTATAATTCAATTCAAGTGTAATTTAAACCAAGACTCCCAGAACCCTTTTGTAAACACAGTTCTGACAAATTAACATATTTTAAAACCACCAAGGGACTGCTTGCTACATAAAGCAACCCTGTAGTCTGTCTTGGATGAGAAGAGGGGACTTCCTGGCTTGTGGAAGGCAGACTAGGAGCCATGCACATAGGTTCTGGCCACTGAGAACCCCCACCCTGACTCCACAGGTCCAAGGTCCTGGATGAAGAGTAGTTCTAAGAGTTCACAAGGAGTTGGGAAAATGGACACCTTCAGGAAGACAGCTTCTTCCTTTCATGGTACTCTGACTGCAAGTTCAGCTATCATCTGACTAAAGAATACATGGAGAAAGCACATTTCTGAGAGGCTGCACAGGCAAAGGATAGAACGGGAGCAGCCTAGGGCTATCTCTAGAAGTCTCTGAAGGGGGCAGGATGCAAATGCAACTCACAAATTCACAAATGATTGGTAGTGATGAGCACATTTGTACTACGGATTGTTCAGACTCATCTGAGCACTGAATTCATGTTTAAGAGGAAGGATGTTCTTCCCTCTCCTTTACACCCTGTAAAAGATTTTAAAATGCTGATGCTAGGGTTGCAGCTCAGTGGTAGAGCACTTGTCTAGCAAGTATGAGGCCTTGGATTTGATCCTCAATGATACCCCAATCCCACAAAAAGCCAGAATGGGGATGTGAATCATCTAAAACAAACAAAACTCGGGATGGGGTTGTGGCTCAGAGGTAGAGAGCTTGCCTAGCATGCATGAGGCACTGAGTTCAATCCTCAGCACCACATACAAAAAAAATAAAATAAAGATATTATGTCTACCTATAACTAAAAAATAAATATTAAAAAAATACCCTTAAAAAAATAAATAAGGGGCTGGGATTGTGGCTCAGCGATAGAGCGCTCGCCTTGCATGTGCGAGACCCTGGGTAAGATCCTCATATACAAAAATAAACAAGTGAAATAAAGGTGATGTATCCAACCACAACTAAAAATAAACAAATAAATAAAAAATCTTTAACTCACAGGAAAAGGATAATACCTAGGAGAGAACTCCCTTTGGCACTTGAATGGAGACATCTGAGGAGAGGAAGGAAGGACATGATGTAGCAGCCCTTTGTGTGTATGTGTGTGGTATTGTGAAGAGAGCAGTTGAGTTATGAGTTCAGGGACAAGATGGGACATTTCCCAAAAGCAACTTTCTTTGAAGGCAGGCCTTGTGAAACATTGCATTAATCTAATAAGCACCCAGCAAGCATCACACCCTAAGGTGGTTTCTCCCTTCCTTTCCTTTTTGATGCTGTGGATTGAACTCATGTCCTTAAGCATGCCAAGCACATGCTAGACTAATCCTTGCCAGATCTCACCAAATAACTGTTTAGCAAAGGCAGATGTCTAACTTGGTGGGCCTGCCTCAGGTGCTAGAGACACATCCTCATCTCATCAGGGTTGCTTCTGGTGACAAGTCCGACCTGAAGCAACTGCCATGAAGACCCAGACGTGCCTGTAATATGAATCAAGGTAATAGTAGCTGTCAGGCTGTTAATGGGAAGGAGGTGCATGAGGGCCTGACAGCTCAGGCCAAGCTGGAAGCCTGGAAAAGACAGAGGGGGCCCTGCAGGCCTAAGTGAAGACACCCCCAATTAAAGAAAGGAAGTAGTCACTCTCAGATCCAGGGAGAGGGAGCACTCAAAAACTGTAGGCAGGAATATGAACTGTGAAAAAGTGCTTGCTCAAAGGAGAAAGAATACAAAGGGATGAGAGACCTAGGATCTGGGCCAAATCACACAAGAGCATGGCAGGGTGTGTGTGTGTCTTCAAACATATCACTGCTGACTAGAGGGAATAGCAGGTGGGCCAGGCAGTTGGATGAAGGCAGCACCCTAGAAGCTGCATCCAGTTGTGTGAAGCATTGCAGAAAGGATATGCTTTAATTCCTGAGGAGACAAGAAATAGACTTTACCAAGCCTTTAGGTTTAGTAATGAAGGGCAGGACCTCATTCTCAGGGGAGCAGCATTAGAGGAGACAAGTTACTAGGATTTAAGGATGCTTGGTGTTCAACAAAAAAGGACTCACATGCGGTAGGACCAACATGTCCAAAGAAACAGGGGTTGAATTCAATGTAGTCCTGTCAGAGGGGAAGCTTCAGTGCACTAGAGAAGCCTGGAATGAGAAAGGGAGGGTGCAGGGAGTAAGGCTAAAGCATGCTGTCTAGTTGGTTGCCAGGATCAGATTTCTCCTAGAAAGCAGCCCAGGAAAAAACACAGATGATGCTATACACTCAGCACATGCCAGGTGAGTTGCAGCAAGTGTGTGTGTGTGTGGGGGGGGGGCACACCCGGGAGAAGCTCCAATCCCAGGGCAGAGGAGCAGACAGGCAGTAAGAATACAAGTCACCAGGGGGTGCAACCACACTCATTCCACCAAGAGGAAGGAGCCCCATAAATTTTCCATTAAGTAATGACATTCTGGAAATCGCCAAATAATGTCCCTGAGGCAAGCTGAATGCCAAGGTAACTGAAGCTTCTAGGCTGGGCTATGCTTCCTCTCTTTTCAAAGAGGCTCATAACAAAGCCAAGGAACAGGACTCATGTGCTCTGGGTCTGTGACTAGTATTCTTAAATTTTACTTCAGGCACAGGCCAAAGAAGTTGAATTTTCTGTATATTAGATGGAGATTTTTCTGCAGAAAGCTTGGTACCCCTGGGAGGGGTACCAGGAATTGTTCAGGGACCCTCAACCACTGAGCCACATTCCCCAGTCCTATTTTGTATTTTATTTAGAGACAAGGTCTCACTGAGTTGCTTAGTGCCTCACTTTTGCTGAGGCTAGCTTTGAACTCACGATCCTGCTGCCTCAGCTCCCGAGCTGCTGGGATTACAGGAGTGAGCCACCATCATCCAAGCTTCTTTCTTAAACATCACCTCATCTTGGTGCTTTACACTATAAAAGTAAAAAATACCATTCCTAGCCGGCAGCTCATATTTGATATGCAGTAACACTTAAATCGTTACAATTCTTGACTCTGAGTCTGTCCTCATCCCACTTAACAGATAAGAAGTAACTTATTCAGGATGTGTAAAGACCAGATCTGAGCAAGGAAGATGGCCTAGAACATGGCATCCGATTGCATACAGTTTAAATTGCCTTTGAACCAAGGAAATGCCAATGAGTAAGCTGAACACAACCCCAGAGGGTCTAAGAGATCCTCTGGACAGGTTGGTAATCATCCTTAACTAACATGACAATTAGGCACAGGATTTCCCCACACACACACACACACACACAATGCCTGAGGTCAATACCACAAGGAAAGAACTGAAAGTTGTCGGATGAAAAGTGAAAATATGACATGATCAACAGATTAGGACAGACCTGGAGCCCCAAATACCTAAAAAGTTTGTCTTAGGAGGCTCTGGACAACCAGTGAAGAGTGACATGTGTGCCCTCCCTGCAGACCATCAGGTAATGATAAATGAGTCAGAGTATC